AAATTAAATTGTCTATTTCAAAAAAATTCTCTTAATTTTTATTTGAGTACATATTCGACTTTGCTGGTCAAAAAAAAAGGAATCAAATAAGAGAATTTATATAAAATAAAAAAATAAGTTTTTTTAATTTAAAAATGATATTAAGGGGTGTTAAGACGAATCTTATTTCTTTTTGTTCCAAAGATAAAAATTTTTAAGAATTAATTCAATTTAAATTTTGGAATGTCAATCAAAAAAAAAGGAATCAAATAAGAGAATTTATATAAAATAAAAAAATAAATAAAAGTTAAAACTAGGTGGGCTAATGTTTGAATAAATTATCGAAAAAAATCCTTTAAAAAACAAATTAAAGATTTCCAACAAAAATATTTTTTGGAAGGAAAGAGAGAGAAAAAACCTGAATTTATTTTATAAGAAAAGTTTTTTTAATTTATTTTTATGTAAAATTTTAATGGGAATCGGAAGGAGTTTTTTGTTGAGAAAGATTTACTAGCAAATTGTTGGGTAGGTAAAATATGGGAAAGAAAATAAGTAAAGTAGAATAAAAATAAAATTAACAGAAAAAGATATCTAGAAAAATTTTAATGTATTAAAAAAAACCCAGAATTTTTTTACGTAAAAACAAAATTTTAATGTTTAGAATATTTTTATTTATTCGAGAAAGTATTTCGTTATAGATTTACAGATATTACTATTTTCTAATTACAAACTATTTATTTTTCAAATATTTAAAAAAATCTTACAATAATTTATTTATAAATATATTTATTTTCTAAAAATATTTTTGTTTATATTCAAAAAATATAAGCCTGCAATACATTGACAGAATCAAGTAGTATGTGCCAAAATATATATATTCATGCAGGTGTCCATTCTTCTTTTTTATTTTCTCACCCTCTTCAAAAAAAACTGAATCAATCCCCTCACTTTTTTTGTCTTCTCAATTTCTTTTATTTTAATTTACTTCCATTACAATGACTTCCCCTTTTTTCCTTTCCCTTATTTGGCATTTGTTTTTAATAAAATGGCACATTTGAAAATAAAGAAAATTTTTGTATGAAAGGAAGAAAAGAAGTGGAGGGAGAGGAAAAAGGGAGGAATTGTCGGAGGGTTTTTCTTCTTTCTAAAATATCCTCCTCTCAATTCCTCACAGAATTTTCCTCATCTCGATCAAATTAGTTATCCAGGTTCTTCTTTTACCCTCAAGACTCGTCTTCTTCTTCCCTTTTCTTTTTAAATTATTTAATATTCATTTACAAAATTAATATTCAAAAGAAAATTTGACAGAAGAAAAGAAGGGAATATTAAATTGATGAAGAAAATAGGTACTTACTTGAGTGTTTCTGGAAGAGGAAGGAAGAAGGTTCTTAAAATAACTGGGGAAAATTAAAAGGTTGTTGGAGGTGTAAAAGAAGTAAATAAATATTTAAATATTTACTGTAAACAATTTAAATATATTCTTTTGGGAATTGTAAATTTAAAATTGTTGCAATTCTAGAAATTTTTAAGGAAATAAAAAAATTGAAATAAAAAATAATGTAATATGTATGCATTAAAATAGTATATGTAAAACTAAATAGGTAGATATAATTTTATTAATTAATGGTATAAGAGTGAGAATATCTTCTTACTCTATGTATTTTAATTATTAAATTGTTGTAAAAAATTAATATAATACATGCAGTAAAAACTGTTATCACGAGGCCCCTAAAAATATGGGATGAGATAAACAAATTAGAAGTTTAGAAATCATTGGGAGAGGGATAGGGAGAAACTGTGAATCCTCGTTACCGGTTTCATCCGGCTCCTTTGATAAACAACCCTAGAAAAAATACTGGGTTATCTCATCTGATTTCTAAATCGGCATTAATGAAAAATATTTCAAAAGGAGCAATTCAAAAAATAATGAGAGTTTTTAGCTATGCTTATAAGAAGAGCTGATAATTTAATAGTTTTTAGTCCTTTTTTATTGTAATACTTTTCTACGGTATAAGTACTATATTACTTTTTAAAAATAGAAAATAATTTTTAAAAAATAATCAGTGTTATACATATGTATGTAGAAAATGAGGGAAAGAAAGCCTAAAAATAATTTGATTTAAGTTTCTCTGAAATTTTAGTGTAATTTTTGTTTTTGGCAAAAATAAAGGGAGAATAAAATATTTTAAAAGAAAAATATTCAAAGCTTTGTTAGCCGGTTTTGGATTGTTTTGGACCAACCGGCAAGTCGTTATCTAATTTTCTTCACAAAAGAAAAAGAGGAAGTTGTTAGAGGAACAAAAGTATTGAGGAGGGGAGGAAGGGCTCCCCTACAAAGGATAGATAAATTAAAGGATAGATGCACTAAAGGATAGATACGCCCAAAAACTATCAAAGGATAGATGCATCAAAGGATAGATTCGCTAAAGGATAGATACGGTCAAAAGCGATCAAAGGATAGACAGCGGAATAGGTCGGTTGAGTCTGGACAAAAATATTTAACCAACAGAATCTTCGCTGGAAAAACTACTGCTACGGAGGGTAGGCCGGGCATGGTCTTCGCTACACGGTGGCCGTGCTTCGCTGCGGTCGTGCATAGCGAAGCGGCGGCCGTAGCAAAGCGGCGGCCGTCGTTCCGCTCGACATTCCCGGCTTCCTCCGCAGCGGCAAAAACTTTTTTCCGCGAATATACTAAAGTAAGAATAAAATAAAAATCAGAACAAACCTGAAATCATAAGAAAAATCAGAACTTGAACCATCAAAAAAGACACTTAACAGTTGATACTCAACTTGCCTCCAAACTTTATCTATTTTTTACCCAATTTTAGACGTGTCTATACTTTAATAGATTTTACCCTAATCTATCCTTTGGCGCATCTATCCTTTGATGCATCTATCCTTTAATCGTTTTTTGCCTTATCTATCCTTTAGCAGCTTTTGGCCGCGTCTATCCTTTGATCGATTTTAGCCGTATCTATCCTTTGATTCATCTATCCTTTGAGCGGGCACGGGAGGAAGAAGGGGTGGTGGAAGGGGGAAAACCTATAAGGAGGGAGGAAAGGGGAAGTAAAAGACCGTAGTAATTGACAATTCTTTCTCTCTCCCTCCATTTTTTGTCTCTCATTTTAACACAAACTCTTTCCTTTTTTTACCCAAACATTCTTTTCTTCCTTCCATATACGTCCGCCTCCAAAACAACAACCAACTAAAACCAACCGTTGTCTTTTTCTATTTTCAATTATCACAGGCTTAGTATACCTTTTTCGACTCAATGCCCGCCTCCTTGTGTCCGCCTTGCCATCCGCTTCGCCCAACAATTTTTACGAGCCATTCCACCCAAATGAACGGTCGGCTGTTGATTCTATCGTTGTTGACGTCCTTTTTTTCTTCAACAAAACAGCAACCAGCCAACCATCCATAAAGCCTTCTTCTTAAAATTCTTCTTTTCTTTTTTCCCTTATCTTCACTAAAAAGATAAAGAATTTATTTATTTTTACTTCCTTTAAATCCTTTATACTATAATAACCCTTAAATGCCCGACCGGAGTGGATTGGTGCTTTCAACCAAGAAAAACTTAGCAAAAAAACAAAAAATAACGTGTCCTAAACTAAAAAGCGATTAATCAGGCGCAAAATTTGTCTTTTTAGCCTCCTCCCTTCCCTTCCCCTCCTCTCCTTCTTTTAAAACTATCCCCATTCTTTTAAAATATTTATTTTAAGCCTATTTTCCGCTCCCAATGTGCCGGAATGATTTTTCCCTTCCGCGTGAATGTTTTGCTTCCGCTGCGTTTTTTATTTGTATTTTTTCAATTCGTCCCCATCCGGCAGCGTTTTTCCCCTCTTTTAACCCCTTCTCGTCTTCCTCAAATTTAATGTAGTTTATTTATTTACTCTTCTGCCCCATCGGCGCTATCAGTGCAATCGGCATTTAATGCTGCTCTTTCTCTATTCGCTTGGACGGATTCTAATTCTCTTTAAAAATTGTATTTCCGAAATGATTTGATTGAGACAGCAATTCAAGTGAATAAAAAATAAAAATATAATTGTTTTTTTTAAATAAATTGATTGAAAAATATTTTTTTGGAAATATAATTTTATTGAATTGCTGTTTTTGGCAGAAAAATGTGTAAAAAGAAAATAATAATAAAAAAAAAGTAAAAATGTTGGCACATTGACTAGTTGATTAATGAAAATTGGAGGCAAATGAGAAATGAAAAAAAGAAATGTTGAGGAGAAGAAGAATAGTTAATAATCTTCAATGGCAAAAAGAAAAAGTTTTAAGGCTTTTACTTAATATATATTTTTTTAATTATAATTAGCTGTCAATAAGAAGCGAGGAAAAGCTAAATTAAAATTGGAATTATTAAATGAAAGAGAATTAAAATTAAAAAATTAATTTTTGAAATTAATTAAGGGGAGGGGGAAAATATTTTAATTTATAAAATTGTTTTTTAGTTAGAAAAATCATTAAAAGTTTTTTGTTTTACGAAGACTCTAGAAATTTAAAATATGTAAATTATTTTACTTATCTTTCTTAATATTTATTAAATATGTATAAATTAACATTTACCTCGGTAGGAAACTATAAGACATTGCTTAAATTCTTTTCTAACTTTCTGAATACATTTTCTTTAGAAATACCTATTCATTAGAAATTTAAAATATGACTGAATATTTTTAGAAATATCCAACTTCTTTGAAATCACTATCTATGTATTTTCTAAACTTTTATGGTACTTATCCGTTATATAGCAACAAACTGGGTGGTAGCCGAATTTGATCGGCTATAACCTTTTCAGGTTTGGTCCATTTCAAATGAATCCTATATCATTCGAATGATAGATACTCATTAGAAAGTTATAACCCGATAAGTCTATTTATTTGGTGTCACATTTATCGTGTTATACTTTTTAATGAGAGATCAGACATGATCCATCAATACCTCTTATCTGTTGCTTTCGAATGATATAAATTTCGTTAGGATTGGATTACGAATCAAAAAGTTATAACCGATTAAAGTTTATGGGTGTATAACGGATAAGCACCACTTTTATTCATCGATAATCTTTCATCAAATAATTTTTTCAAATTCTTTCGAAATTATTTTTATTAATGTCATAAATAATTTTTAAAAAATTCTTTAGTTTCTTCTGATCGCTCTACAGACCCAGTCTCTACTCGTGCTCAACAACAACCACCTCAATCCTCTTCTTTATTAGTAAACACTCCCTTAATAACAACATCTAATAATACCCAATCTACTTCATTACAACAAACATTTACTTCTTCTTCTTTTGGCCAACAATCTTCCTCTTCTTCCTCATCAAAATATTACCCCCAAACTTCTTCCTATCCATACGTCTATCCATTAGCGGCAGCTGCTGTAGCAGCTGCAACTGGAACAACTCCAAACCATTCTTTAAGCCATTTCAGTCTAAATATTGATATACACCATCAACAGCCTGGTAATCGTTTAGGCTTTGATAGTTCAAATACTGGACCCTTCTTTGATATTGGTAAATGATTTTTTCTTAATATAATTACTCGAATACCCTATCCCTCATTATTTATATCATATTAAAAACTTATCTTCTCATTAATTAATATTTTTATTTTTAACACGTTCAGATATTAATCCTGAATAAAAATTACTTTTTAGGAATAAATACAAACAATAACAACCAACAACAACAAATGCATCAACATTCATTATTACAAAACGAACATACTAATCACCACCATTTGAATGCTTCATCACTCCAATTATTACAACATCGTTACCATAACCATCAGCAACATACAGAAATTGGTAATTTAATTAAAAGAGAAAATGGGAGTCTTCTTAACAATCAACAACAAAATTCTCCTGATTCTAGGGGTTGGTTAAATATTTGGATATATTTTTTGTGTTTATTTATTTGGATATATTTTCGATTTTTTAAAATTATTTTGGGTTTTTAAAAATTTATTTTCCAAATCTCTTAGATTGGTGTTAATTCTTGAAAATTAAAAGAGAGAAAGATTAACTTAACCCTTTAAGTTTTTCTTTAAGGAGAATGAAAAAGCAAATTTATCTATTAATATGGCTATACTACTTTGCCTATTTAGTCAAATTTAAAATTATTAAAAAAATTATTTTTTAATAATATTTTATTTAAAAAAATATTATTATTTTTTCTATAAAATTCCATTATATATTTTTAACCTCACATTAATTTTTTTATTTTTTCGCCGCCTATTATTGTCACTTAGCGGTGCTTGTTGAAATGTGTTTTTCTATGGATATTTTTTCACACTTTAAAACCATTAAATATTTTTTCTTTAATAAAATGTATTAGAATCACATAAAATTGAGGGGAATACATACATCTCTCTCCCTTTAAATTCGGAAAAAAGTTTTTCGCCGACAAGGTGATTTTTAAAAAATAAGTAAAGGAAGGTGCTAACCGATATACATATAATCTGATTTTTGTAAAATATTTTTTTGGGAATGGTAAAAGGGAAAAGGAATGAAGGGAGGGAGGAATGTTTTTGGTTGTTGACAGTACTGTAATTATCTTAAAATGATTGAAAATTGTTTAGAAAAATTAAAATATATAAATATAGTTAAGAAATAACTAAAAATAAATTTGTTGTTTTTTCATTTAAAATATTTTAATTAAATATGAATATGTATATATAATAGGTATTTAATTGGATTCGGAGGAATTTGTGGAATTTTATAATTGGAAAGAAAAAAATAAAATAATTCTTTAATTTTTTATTAACAGTTTATTATTAAAATTTTAAAAGAAAATTCTTTTATTTTCTAGTCGATTCTGGACATACGGGGGTTAACCAGCTTGGTGGTGTTTTTGTAAATGGCCGTCCATTGCCTGACAATATTCGGCAAAAAATTGTTGATTTTCATAAAGAGGGAATGCGCCCTTGTGATATTTCTAGGCAATTACAAGTTTCTAATGGGTAAATTAATTAATTAATATTTTTTAATAAATAAATTAATTTAGATGTGTTTCTAAAATATTATCTCGTTTTATGGAATCCGGTACAATTAAACCAAGGGCTATTGGCGGGTTTGTTTTTAAGGAATTTTTAATCTTTTACTCTAAACAAATAAACAGTTTTATCGCTATTTTTTACCAAATTCACAATATTTTAGGGGATAATTACGTAAATATTTTAAAAAGGAAAAGTAAAAAATTTGAATATAAATTTAATTTTATTTCATAAAATTTTGTTAATTCGGATTTTATTTTTAAATAAAAGCAATTAATTGGAAAGATTACAAAAAAAAATAAAAATAAAATTTTAATTTCAATATTTAATTTTAATGTTAGAAAAATTTAAATAAAAAAAATATTCATTTAAAGTTCAAAACCGAGAGTGGCCACAAAAGAAGTTTGTGATAAAATAAAAGTAAATATAATTAATTAAATATTTAAATAATTAAATTAATTTAAAGATATATAAAGAACATCAACCTTCAATTTTTGCATGGGAAATTAGAGATCGTTTAAGACAAGACAGAGTTTGTAGTGAAGAAACATTACCAAGTGTTTGTAATTTATTTTTAAAAATATTAATTTAATTAATAAATGCTAATTAACTAAATTAAATATGAAATTAATTTAAAAATAAATAAAGCCTTCTAGGAAATATATATAAATACTAAATATATTTTTCTGAATTTGTATAAAGGTCAAGAAACCATAATAAGACCTCCCCCTTTTTATGGCATTAGGGGTGTTCAAAAACCCATAAACAAACTTATTGATATCAATAGAAAATAAAAACAAAAAAAAACTAAGCTAATATAATTATTCCTTTATCGAATTCTGAAAATCCGAAAATCAACGTAAAACTGTTGTAAATGTCTTTAAAAACTATTTTCGACCCCTCGTAAGCAGTGTTAAAATTTTAATCTTATATTTTTTGAAAGCTCATTAAATTTGCAATAATATCACCAATTTTAATTTTTTGGAAATTTTTTTTGATTGAGTTATAAATGTTAAAAGTGATTTTCTTCTAGAGCCAAAATCACTAAATGTTTTTAAATTCAATGATTTATAAAAATCAGTGAATTTTATCAATTCAAATTTTTGGTTATAATAACATTAAATGTTTAATGGACTTATAGAAAAGTTTAGAATGAAAATTTAAATTAAATTTCTTTAAAGGTTTCATCAATAAATAGAGTTTTGAGAAGTATTCAATCAAAAAAAGAAAATTCTTCTTCTACTTCATCTAATAATCAACAACAACAATTAAATTATTCTGCTAATTTTGGTAATAATGGAATTGGAAATTTTTTGGATGGAACAACAAATGGAGCAATGACTGCTTTTGCTATGCAAAATTTAAAGTTTATTTTTAATTTTAAAGGATGGAAGAAAATAGTTTTAGTTAATATATAAATTATTTTATGTCCAGAAATGTCCTGGTATTTTGATAAAAATCTGGCAAAATATGTATCGATATACCGACATATATGCATAAAGTACAGGGTCCTAAGTGTCTGGACCAACACAAAAACCCATTTTTGGTCTCCCTTATCAAGGCATATCTGCTTATAAAACATTTACTTTTGTATGTATATTTTAACCACCCCTAATTTATAATATTAAATAAATAATTACATTTATTCATTTAAAGATGTTGGCCATATCCTTGGCCAACATACCCACAAATGGCTGCTGCTCAATTAAACTTCCCAGCAAGTATTTCTGCTGCTGCAGCTGCGGCCGGAACTGTAGAAGAATTGGCAGTTGCTAATGCTTTTCTTGCTGCCCAAACAAATAATATTACAAAAGAAGAAGAACAATCAACATTGTTTGGAGGTAAATATATATTTAAATATTTTTATATAATTTTTAATAACAAATTTTTTAACAAAATTAAACTACTAAAAGTTATTTTTATATATTCTTTTCGTACTTATTGCTAATTAAAGTTAATTAATTTTTTATTTTAATTTTTAGACAAAAAACTTTTATTTATTTATATAAATATACAATATATATTTATATAATACATATATAAATATATATAAATATATAAATATATATTTATATAAATATAGCAAATAAATATACCCAGGGCTTCGATTGAGGAAATGTTAAGTTTAGATACAAAAAATTTAATTTCTAAGTACATATATAGTGGAAAAAATTTTCAAAATACAAGTACAAATACTTTAATTTTTGTCGCCGCAGGCGAAAATTTTGGGAAGTTTTAAGTTAAATTTAAATTTAAACCAAAAAAGTCAATTAATATTTTGTGTGCTTCCAAATACACATTTTAGGCAAAATTAAAATTTATATCGATAATTTCAATTTTTCTGAAATATTTATTTTCTGGTAAAATAATAGAATACTTTTTAAATTCATTTTTGTCCAAATTATTTTATTTCCGCCAAGAACTTGATTTTAGTTTTTTCTTTTAAAATTTTAAATATTTATTTATTTAATTTTTATTTTTTCCTCACTGCAGGGCGTCTTCAAAATTTAATATTTTTGTATTAAATATTTCTTTTTTCTTTAAAATATCTTTTCTTCTTCCTTCTTTTTATTAAAAATCATTCTCCTCAAAATACCCATCTATCAGGGTCATTCAACAGCAGGTGTCATTGAACACTTATTATTATTTTATTAAGTATTTTTCTATATTTTGTAGAATACAATAATTCCTCCATAAATTCAAAAACATTTTAAATAAATTATATTTAATTTAATAATTTTAATTTTATTTACTACCTTTATTTAATTCAAACAATTATAAAATTAAAAAAAAATTTATTTTATTTTATTTTTAACCAACAAAATATTTTTTGCTTTCTTTAACCAAAATATTTTTACTAATTTTCTATTTTTTTTCTTTTTCTTTATTTTTGATTTTAATTTCATTATCAGTCTAATCAAGCGTAAAAATATTTTTTGGGGAGAAAATATTTTTTTAATCAAAAAAAAGAAAAATCGCAAATAGTCGCGTGCTTTTATTTATTTATAGAAAACATTTTAAGTATTTTTTGTTTTATTTTAATTAACATGCCAACAGCCAAAAATACGCCAACCACAAAAATACCCGCGTGAAAAAGAGTAAAGAGAGAAGGAGGGGGAGGGGAGGAGAAGTTTTTAGTTTCCGCTACTGTTCTGATTTTCTCTTGTTTAAAAAGTTTTTTTTTCGTTTCCTTTTGGATGACTGATCAAGGCGATCGCGTCAAAGAATTTTTGTGTTTATTTTTTAGTTAATTTAAATTGTTCATGCGTAAATGATTAATTAATTTATATAAAAATATTTTATCAAAAAATCAGCAAAACCACAATCACAAAAAGGGCTGTCTCTCTCTCTCTCTTGATAGGGAGGGGGACGGGGGGGTGGGCGGTTGGCAGGAAAAAAAATTAATTTTTTGGTTACTGTAAATAAAAAAAGAGAAAGAGGAAATCACAAAAATATTTTTAAATTAAGAAGTCTTTCTAAGTAGTTGGGGAGTTTTTATGTTTGTTTTTTGTTGTCGGAGTAAGAGGAGATTTTAAGAGGAGAATTAAGTGAACAAATCGGCCACTTTTCTTTTTCTCTCTTCTTTTCTACAATATACTTTACTTCTTTTAATTTAAATTAAGTTAAATATAAAATCCTCTTTTTATTTAATAATTTAATTAATTATATAAATTTAATAATTAAATTAAATTTAGAAATTAATTAAGAAAGGAAATATTATTTAATTAATATGAAATGATTAATTCAAAAATTAATGAGTCAATATTTTTTAAATTATATAGCTTAACTTTCTCCATATTTTTAAGTAGAGTGGGATTGTATACGATTATTTTTTCAGGAGTAGGTTGGGATTAATATATACTATAAGGTGGATTATAACAGTGATTTTTATGTGAAGTTCCTCACAGTTTAATCGAAACTGGCCGATATGTGGGAGTATAACCGTAGTGTGAATATATCCTGGTGGGACTATATCGGGACTCCTTGCTCAGATATTTAAATAGAAAATTACAAATTTTTAAAAATATTTTTGAATTACAAAAATATCCTTTAGAAATAAAATGACCAAACTTTATTTTTAATTTTTCTTTCTATTTCCTTTAAAAATTAATTAAATTATAATTTAATTAATCTTTCTTCGATAATTATTTTTATTTGTTACTTTTAACACTTAAATTAAATTAAATATGGGCAAACCTCCAGAATATTCGAAAAATAAAGAAAAGGGCTTCGATATTTGTTGTTTTTCGGCGTTTTTTAAATAATTTAATTAATCAAATTTAATTTAAAAAACATTCTTAGAATTAAACAAAAAACATTCTCTTCAAGAGAACTCTGTACTCTTAAAAAATTTCCTAAAAAATTTCGTTAGAGAAAGGATAATTTAATTAATTTTCCAAAAATATATCTACAGCCTTTTTATCTTAATTTTAAAAAAATGTCCCACCACCAACACCAACAAACACCCCCTCCATCATCTAGGCCTCCCTCACTTTTGGATTCCCAACAATTAAATTTACAACAATTTGAAATACAAAACAATAATTATTTTAATACCAACAATAATCAACAAAATAATTTTGTCGATCCTTTTATTGGGTTTTCCCCTCCAATTAATTTATTAATTAATGGAGAACACCAACAACAATTAATTAATAATAACGACAATTTAATTCCTCAATCTCCACCTCCACTTCCTTCTTCTTCTTCTTTTATTTCTTCTTCTTCTCCAATAAAAGTTGATTCTTCTAATAAATTTCTTTCACCTCAACAATTATTAATTAATGGAGAAGAGGAGGAGGAAGGAGATAAAATTGGGGAAAATAATTTTTGTCTTTCCTTAATTGGAGATAATTTAAATTTAAATAATTTGCAAAAAACATCAAAACAAAAACATCGTGGAAGGGAGGAAATTAAAATTGGTTTTAATTAAATAATTAATTATTTAATTAATTTCTTTTTCAAAAATTAATTTTTCTTAAATTAATAATAAACATTCTTTCACAATTAACTAAAATTTAACAATTAAAAAGTACCAAACTTTTTTTAAAATACATTTTGGGGTTTTAAATATTAGTAGATTTTATTTAGTTAATTTTAAATATTAGTAAAAAAGAGGGGATAAATATAGAAAGATTGATCATTAAAGGAGATAAGGCAAAAAAAGCGCGAAAAGGAAAAGCAAGGACGAATGTAAAGAGAAGGGGGAAGGAAGGGAGATATTGTGTTACATTGATAGATTAGAATTGTAGAAATAAATATATATTTGATTGACATATTGGAAAGAAATCGTTCTTTTAATTTCTAAAAATATATCCATCTATCCACTCAATTCATTAATTATTAAGTACATAAATCAATTTACTTATTTAATTACTAATTAATTATTGAGAGATAATTAATATTTAATTTTAAATTAATTATTCCTGTCAAAAAGTGCGAAAAGAATATTAAAAATATTTTTAAAAAATTAAAAAAAAGAAACTTTTTTTAATTAAAAATATTATTAAATATTTTTTAAAAAAAGATCCTTCAACAACAACAATAACTGAAGAAGATCAAAAACCTCCAAGCGACCCATCTATTCAAACAAACTATGGAAAATATTCAAATAATAATGGAAATAATAATGATTCTAAATGTTCTGTTGATAGAATGCTTTTAAAAAGAAAATTACAAAGAAATAGGACTTCTTTTACACAAGAACAAATTGAAAGTTTAGAAAAAGGTGAATAAATTAAAAATTAAATAATTAAAATTTTAAAATAGAATTTGAAAACTGTCATTATCCAGATGTTTATTTGCGAGAAACTTTGGCTCACAGAATTCATTTGCCTGAAGCTAGAGTTCAAGTTTGTCTAATCTTTAAATTAAAAAAAAATATTTACTAATTCAGGTTTGGTTCAGCAATAGACGTGCCAAGCATCGCCGGGAAGAAAAAATGCACAAACAAGGAATTCAACCCCAACAAATTAGAAATAATAATTTAATTAACGATCAATTAATGGCCGTTTCTGGAACTCCAAATTCAATGATTTCTACTTCTTCTAGTGGCCCCTCAGCTAATAATAATAACAATAATAATGATAATATTAATGGGCATTCATTTGAACAAAGAATTGATATTAAAAATATACCAAATTCTCCATCTCTTTCTTCTGCCACGGCAACTGGTACCCTTCCATTTTAATGATAATTCCTTTTTTATCATTCCAATTATCACCACAATATATTAACATATATTTTTAGGGCAATCAACAAACAATAATAATTCAGAATCAACTACCTCAACACTCCATCAATTAGGAGTTCAGGAAAGCTCAACAACAACAACAACAAATAACAGAACAAATACTAGAAATAACAATACAGACAATTCAGCATTACCAACAACATTTCGTTCATTTCCTTCAAATATTTATTCTTCATTTGCAGCATTTGGTGATCAGTCATTAACCACAAGAAATGGAGTTTCTGGATTATTAACATCATCGGGAGGATTATTACCTAATAATTCACTACAAACAATGACAAATAATAATTATATGGATCCTTAGTAAATTAAAATATAAATTAAATTCTCAATAAAAGATTTTTAAATTTTATAGTAGCAGTAACTTTGGAGTGCCCCAACCAAATTTAAATGATTATAATATGTTATCCACAGCAAGATATGATTTTACTGTAAGAATAAAAGATTCTCTTAAAATAAAATAAACTTTAAGCGATATCCTCGCCACCCCGATCAAACAGCTTCAATGACTGCAACATTCCCTGCATCTGCTGTTACCACAGCAATTCCTGGTAAATATTTATTTTATAAATTTTAACTAAAATATTTCTTTAAAGGATTAAGTCTAAATATTTCTGTCGGACATCCACCACCTACCAATAATTGGGGAACTGGAACAGATCCAAGCTATCATTGGCAACCATGATTATCAATTTTTCCTTGCAGATATTATGTGGCATTTTACTTTTTTTAAACATTTAACTTTCCGCTTTTTTGGCATTTTGATTTTTCTTTTTTAAGAATGAAATTTTGGGTACAGCCCAAGTAGGCGCGCGGCCAAGTAGGCGCAAAGCCATAACTTGCTTCAAAATTTCCAAATCTTCCAAAATTTAGTATTAAACGATTCCTCTCATCGAGCTAAAGAGAATGGTACCAGAATTATTAAGGTCCAAAAATTTTCCAGGTAGTTATAGCTTTGCGCCTACTTGGCCGCGCACCTACTTGGGCGTGTCCCTGAAATTTTGTCTAAAAATAAATGTTCATAAAGTTAAAAATTCATTTGGCATAATAAATCTTTTGTTCTTGACTTCCCAAAACTTTGTGAACATCCGTTTGTATTTAGATTGTCTTTTGTTATTAGATTTTCTATAAAAGTTGAATTTTGTGAATAAAATTTTTCGAATTAAAAAAAATATAGAAATTTAGATATGGCGTAAAACAATGTCATTTTACGATTAAAATATATTTTAAGTTATTTTTCTTTAAGGGTGCTCTTACATATTTGTGATATTTTTTATTTATACAAATTCTACTAAAATTCTATTATTTATCTAAAAATATTAATTAATTTACGGGTATGAATAACGAGAAAAACAGCACTTTAGTTAAAGATCTCCCCGTTAAACCAAATATAACAAAGCCAAGATGGGACCAGTCGACTTTTGAAGGAAGAGCCCGACATTTCTTTGCAATAGTGAATCCACTCAATCTTTTTGTCAGCTCTCAAAAATTGGAACAATGCCGAAAAATTGTGTTAAATTATAGGTTTTTTAAAGATTTTAAAAATAATTTTTAATTTATTTTTAATAGAAAAGGGGAATTTCCTTCTGATTTAACTGTTGAGGAACTTTGGACAGCTAAAAATATTTATGATTCTGCATATCACCCAGCAACTGGAGATAAAATGTTTATTCTTGGACGAATGAGTGCTCAAATGCCGTGCAATATGTTTATTACTGGAGGATTATTAAGTTTTTATAGGTTAATTATTTGTTTTAAATTCTAAAATTTTCTTTGTTTGAAGGTCAACGCCAGCAATTGTTTTTTGGCAATGGATTAACCAGACATTTAATGCATTAGCTAATTATACAAATCGATCAGGCGATTCAGTTGGAACTAAACAATTGATGCAAGCATATTGCTGTGCTACTGGTGGGGCACTTACTGCTGCGTTGGGTTTAAGTGCAATTTCTAAGGTTTTTTTAATTTTAAATTGTCTGTTAAATTTTTACAAAAAAAAATTCTACCATCTTTTAGAAAATGCCACCAATTTATGGTCGTCTTGTTCCATTTGTTGCTGTAGCAATTGCAAATATGATTAATTGCCCAATGATGAGACAAAAGTAAAATAATTTTAAAAAATTCAAAAAAATTCTTTTAGGGAATTTGTTGAAGGTTTAGAAATATTTGACGAGAACAACAACTCTCTTGGTTATAGCAAGAATGCTGCATATCGAGCAGTCCCTCAAGTAGTTGTTAGTCGAGTTCTTATGGCTTCTCCATATATGGGTATTTTTAAATTAAATTTAATTAAATTTCTAAAAATTAAGTTCTTACTCCACTTATTGTCAATCAATTAGTGAAAAAACGTTGGTTCAATAGTCGACCTTGGATTTCTCCAATTATTCAAACACTTATTTGTGGATTAATTTTGACATTTTCTACACCATTGTGTTGTGCTATTTTCCCACAGCAAAGTCCAATGAAGGTAAGAAAAGCTTTAAGTTTTAGAATTAAATAATTTTTTAAATTTTATAGTTTGACAAATTGGAACCAGACCTGCAAAAGAAGATTTTGGAAAAGACTGGAGTGCCATCTGGTTTTGTTTATTATAATAAAGGACTTTGAGATATTCAATTCAATCAACTGCGGAAATCACTTTTAAAACACATTAATCACTTTGTAAGACTAATAAGTAGTTATTTATGGCAATCACTAACTAATTTATTTTATAAACAATGAAACTAATTTATAAGTTAAAAAGTTTTATTTTTTAAAAATTATTTAATGGCAAGCTGGCATAAAAATAATAGAATTGCGTTTTGTTTTCGTTATGGCAACATAGATTAATTGTTTATGGCAAGAGATTTCTAGGGGAAGGAGAAAGTTAAGAATGGCAAGAATCGAAATTAGGTGGGCAAGAAATTATTTAAAAGAAATATTCTTCAATTAGATGGCTTCTCGTAGGGTTTCATATCCGATCTTTTTAATTGGACTTTGAGACGCTTATTACCGACTTGAAAGCCATTCATTCCTAAATAGTCGAATTAGTTTAAATTTCACAATTTATAGTTATAGACCTGTAATTGCATTTTGTGCTGAGTTTGCGTTGTTAAAACTAACAAAACCAAAGCATTTGCTTAAATTAGTTTGTTTGTCAACGAAGACTTTTGCTGATAAAATTGGACCATAATTACAAAAGAGTGAAAACCTAAATTGAAAATGATTTTTATAAATTAAAAAACAAACAAATCAGAATCTGAGAATTCCTGTGGTAAATGATATATAAAAAGATTACAGCCTTCTGGACCTCTTGAATTTTTTTCAGACGGAGACATTGCTGCATTTGGATGTATTTCACGTATTTGTGTTTGTTGAAAATTTGGTGTAGTTATCGGATTTGTAAAAAACCCAGTCATTTGCAAACTACAAATTTGAGCTAGAAGATTTTGATTATCTAAAATTTGATTTTAAGAACTTAAAAATAAAAATTTTGTAAAATACTTTGTGCTAGAAAAGCTGGAGGAATACAAAATTTTGTAGCAGATTGTTGTTGAAAAGGTGTTAAAAGTCGTTGATTTTGATGGAGTGTTGCTAATTGAGAGTCAGATTTTTGATTTACATTTGGAAAGATTCCAGGAGTAATTATTGGTTTTTCTTTAAAAAATATTGAAAGAGGAATTTTAAAAATAAATAAAAACCAAATCCACCATAATTAATTGCATCATTTAATTCTCTTTGTGGTAATTGAGGCGAGATTGCTAACATTAAATATGGAATTTATTTTTATTTAATATTTTTATTACCTGAATTTATAAGTGCAGCAATTCCTGGCTGTTGGAGTAATGATACCAAATTTGTTAATATTTCAGTTCCAGGCTTCTGTCCAACAGTGTTTTGCTGTTAAGAAATTGAAAGGATAAAAAATAACCCATTTTAACCAAACTACATATGTATATAAATATTGTCGCCGGAAAATTTAGAATTATAAATTCCAATCCCGATTGAAAGAGTTGCAGTTTTGGCTTTAATTCAAATTTAAAAAAACAAACCATTTGTGTCACAGCACCAAAATTGTTGTTAGATTCTCCTCTATTTACATCTAATCGCTTTGTTCCTGCATTCTTTTCCTTTCCTCCATCAACAAATTTAACAACAATTGGTTTATTGCAGCCCTAAAAATAAAAAATATTTTTTGACATATTTAAAAATTCTTTTAAAAACCTTTAACAGAAAAAAACAAATATATTTAGAAACAAAACTGACAAAATTTTACCTCAAAAATCTGTGATTGATTCATTTTACGAACAGCCTGAAGTGCACATGAACGACTGACAAAAGTCAAAAAAGCACAACCTGTAACAACAAAGACAAAAACAACAATAAATAATATGTACATATAACAGAACAAAAAAATTAAGAAAAAACAAATGTATAGAATATTTGGTTAACTAAAATTTGGAGTTTTCTAGTGACGAAAGAGTAATATTTTTTAAGAATTTAAACATAAAGAATTCCCACCACCAACGAAAATACCTAATTTAACCATTTAAATAATCGAATACTTTAATTATTTAAAAATAAAGCATTAACTACTAGCAGATATTAATTAATTTAACAAAAAAACCTTTGCTTTTGCCTTGATCACGTAAAATATTGCATTCCTCTATTTGTCCAAAATCTTTAAAAATTTTACGGACATCATTTTCATCCATTGATTTACTAAAAAAATAACTAAATTTCTACGTTAAATACTTTTAAAAAACCTCAACATTCCAATAAAAAGTTTTCGATCTAAAAATATTTTTAAAAAACTTGTTCCAAAATAAATTAAAAACCATTTCTATTTTCTGTGTCAGCAGGTTTCATTTGAACAGGATGGCCAAGTCCAGGCATTGTATGAACATTATGAAGCGCATTTTGTGCATTTATGGCATCCTTCCGATGATAAAATGTAACAAAACAACAACCTTAAAATTAAACAAAAAGAAATATCCAAAAATCATTCTTTTTACCTTTGCTTTCTTCACTTCCCTTATCTCGCAAAATATTTAATTGAAAGACTGGCCCATATTGAGTAAAAAATTCAATTAATTTATTTTCATCCCAACTCTAAAATTAAATTAGGTATTTTTAATTAAAATAATTAAAAAACCTTCGGTATTTGCCCAACAAACATTTTTATTGTATCAGAATCTGGACTGTCTGTCTCTTCATTATTTGGAGAATTATTATTTTGTGGAATATTTATAAAATCTTGATGTAAAGAAATTTTGTCTTGAATAATATTGGAAGAAGATTCCATTTAATTAATTTTAATTAAAATAATTAATTTTTCTAAATTAAATTAAGGGCAGTTGGTCATAAAAATAAATAATAATTGAAATTTTGTATATGATTTTTAATCCATACCTATAATAAATAAAAAATATTAGAGAGTGTGCAAATGAATATAAAAATAGCCACAACGAAATTGATTAATATAAAACAACTGTTTTATTTATTTAATTGCAGTAAAGTAAAAACAAAATATTATTCACAAGTTTACTACTTTCTACTCTATTCAATATCTGTAAAATTAATTGTGGGAGCAACATTGTTTTTATCAGTATGTAAAAATATTTTAATTGTTTGTGAATTCATTAAGATAACAATTGAATTCTGTCCAAATTAAAGACTGACCGAATTGAGTCATTATCATTTTGTTTAAAAGGGTACAGCCCAAAACGGCGCGCGGCCATAAAGGCGCAAAGCCATAATTTGCTGAAAATTTTCTGGCCCTTGATAATCTTGTTACAAATCTCTTCAGCTCGATTAGAGGAATCGTTTAATACTAAATTTGATAGGATTCGGAAATCTTACAGCAAGTTATGGCTTTGCGCCGTTATCGTTGCGCGCCTTTTTGGGCGTTTCCCGTCTAAAATTGTCCTTAACTTTAAAATTAACAAATTTTGAGTTAAAGTTAGACAATCTGTCTGTCATGCGCCAGTAAAAACGATTGGAAATTTGTGTAATAGTTATTGACTGGCCAAAACTTTCTTTTTTATTGGATGACTCATTCAAAAAAATTTTAACTTTAAATATGTATGTACCCTATTTTTTTTTAATTTTCTTTTTCAGCCACGCAAAATGCGATGGAACGTCGAAGCTATCGACCATATCTTCGACAAAATGGGACAGATTCTGTTGACAAATTTTTAAAAAATATTAATTCAACCAATAATCATAATAATGAAAGATACACTTCCTCAAAATTCCCTACGGATGGTTTGGATGGCGCTGGAACTTCAAAATATCCTTCATACTCCACCTATGTTGGGAAATACTCTCCATCATTACGGAATACAGTATCAAGTTCTGCTGCTCCAGGCAACTATTCAACCCGTTATGATGCCCCTACTGCTGAAAGGGTTTGTTTCTTTATTTAATTTATAAGATTCTTTTAATTAAGAGACGCCCGTCTGGGGTTCCTTTGTATAATTTGGCAAAAAATACAACATACAATGCCGAGAATTATGGTGCTAATGGGAGCAGTCGTTTTGCTCAAGGCGGTAAGTAAAACTTTTTTTAGAATTGTAAGACTAAAGCGGTTAATTCTAACTAATTTGTCGTTTTTGTTGAATAGAACACATTAATTTTACTTTTTTGCAGGGTACAATGACTATGGTGCGCAGCGGACAGGCTCAATTCCCACGGTGCGAGATGGGGCTAAGAAACAAAAGTCGGCCTTAAAATCATTACGTTCTTTCTTTAAGAGGCACCTGATTGGAGGGAGCAGAGGCAGAAGGGATCTGTCGGCTACACCTATAAACACTCGATTCTCCTCTACACAAAATGTAATTTTTATTTTAAATATTTTCGTTTTTAAATTATTTTTTTAATTATTAGGTCAACGGTCATCTTCCCTATGCTGTTCCAACCACCCATCGACGTTCATCATCTTCATCCATTGGATTTATCAACGAGAATCGGCCACAACAATCCTCTTCAGCATTTAATTCTTCTAGAGATTCCATTGTTAAACGTTCCTCTACCGTTCTACCTTTTAATAATGTTGATTACTCACGCCCCTCAACTGTTGATTCCCTTGATTCTTCAATAAAAGACGTGCAAAGAAGAACGGGAGACATTTCCATATCAAAAGCTGATATTTCCAAACGCCCTCCTTTACCTTCTACTACAAAATTTACACCTAATAAACATCCTTCAGTGCCTATACCAGATACTTCCAATGTTATTTCTGATAGACAATTAGCTCAAAAAAGACCTACTATTACTCCCGATGAAAGAACACCTACAATAATTTGTGATAGAAATCCTAAAACAATTATTCCGTGCTTGAGAGGTTTTTCTTTAATTTTCTATTAATTTATTTTGAATTTGTAGGTCTTTTAAATCACGGGAATACTTGTTATTTCTCTGCCATCATCCAGTGCCTTGCAGCTTGTGAGCGATTTGCTGAATTTCTTATTTGTAATGATTCTGAGTTTTCTGATCATGCAAATAGAGATGTTGGTATTTGTTTAGTTACTTAAGACTTTGTTGTTTTTTAATTTAAATTTATTTTTTTTTACAATAAGGATGAGGATGGTCTCTATAAATCATTTGTTTCCACACTTCGCTGTCTTTGGTTCAACAACCCCAATGCCGACTCTTTTTGCTTGAAAACTCTTAGATTTATTGGACAAGCGAATCCACTGTTTATTATATCTCATCAACAGGTTATATTCTCCTTTTAAATAAACCATATTTTTATAGGATTCACATGAATGTCTGATTTGGTTGTTGAATAAACTTCATGAAGAAACCAAAGGACACGGAACGAAAACAAGCATTAATAAATCAACTTCAAAGCTTAGGGTTTTTAAATTACTCTACTAAAAACTTTTAATTTTAAGACATATAAATCTGAAGAAGAATTGGCCAGTGATGCATTAGAGAAAATTAGTGGTTCTCACGAATCTACAGTTATGGATTTGTTTAGGTATGATTTTATAAGCTTGTTTATTTTATTTTTTAGGGGGCAATTCCGAACTGCACTGAAATGTACTAATCCGGGTTGTGGTTTTACTAATTTGTCGTTTGAGCCATATCTTTGTATTTCGTTAAGTGTTCCATTGGCAAAAAAGTTTGTTTTTAATTCTAATTTTTTTAAATTTTTTGTCCTAATTTTTAAGGCTTCACCATTATTCTGTACTTCTTTTCTCCTTCCATCCAACTCGCGAGATCATCCGTTTTTATTTTGCCGTTCCGGAAACATCTTTAAATGTTAGGCATTTTAAAAATAAAATAATGGAACGTATGAATGGTTCATCAGAAGAAGTAATTTTAATTATTTTAATACAAAATTTGTTCAATTTTAGACGGTATCTTGTTGTATTGAGCCAAATGGTTTAATACAATTACTTGATGACGATTTTGTAATTTATTTTGATAACCGTCAATTTGGGGAACTCAATATTCTTGAAATTCCAAAAATCCTTCCAACACATAAAAATGATGATACAATTGTTTGTATAGTTGTATTTGTTATGGGAACCTTGCCAAACTGTGAACGGTAATATTCTAGAAAATTTTAAATATTTTAATTTTAGTTTTGAAAATCCTTTCGTGGCACTTTTAAATCGACAATGGAATTATGCTGTTATTAGCAATTTTTTATTACAAAAATGTGAACGTCTTCTTCCTCGTCATTTCTCTATTTTGCCGCAAGACTATAATATTTTTGTTCAAAGTCGTGATAATTCATTGCAAGTTCTTCATCCTCAAACGAAGAGACCGTTATTTAGTGATTTTGTGGAAAGGTTTTTATTTTTTATTAAATAATGAATTGAGTTTTTTTAGAATTTTAAATGACGTTGACAATCCTAAAAAAGTTTTGCGAATAATTATTGAATGGGATTTGTCTTTGAAACAACGATTTTTGTCTTATGTTGCGCCTGAGCCCATCCTGAATGATTATTCTTTTTATCGTAAGGTGGAGAGTTCTGATTATGATTCTAAACAATCTACTATTTCGCTAACAAATTTGCTTGATCAATTCGTCGGATGTGGTAATTAAATTTAACTGGCACAACCTTGTATTTTATAAATAACTAAAAATATTTTTTAGAATCTATACGTGATTGGACATGCCCAAATTGTACAAAATCGCCAGGATCCATGGAACTTCGTTTCCATTCATTACCCGATGTTCTTGTTTTCCATCTCAAGCGTTTTGAATTGGTTATTTTTAAATCTTAAAATATTTTATCCGTTTAATTTTTCGAGACCATTTTTAGAGAAATATGAAAATCTCATTAATTATTAAAAATATTTTTAAATTTTTTATTTCCCATTTAAGTTATCTGAAAGTGTCACAAAAAAGATTGATAGCCGTGTTAAAATACCGCTTGAAAAACTTGATATGAGTCCTTATGTTTATAGTCAATATTCAAAGTCAAGTACCTTACCTAAGGTATTTTAAATTTAAACAAAATAAATTTTAAAACTATTTTTAGAATAAAAAAGGAGGAAATAAAACATTTAATTATGTTGAAAAGAATTTAATGATTTATGATTTGGCGGGTGTAATTTATCATTATGGAGAGAGGACTAATTCTGGTTCAATTTTTTACCATTCAAAAATTCATTTCAATATTTAGGGCATTACACTGCTGCTACACTAAATCCTGTTGATGGAAAATGGCGAATATTTGACGATTCTCGCGTTTCAACTCTCGCTGAATCTGTTACCGGATCAAGTGAACTTGAAATTTCTTCTCGCTCTTATTTACTTTTCTACCAACGGCAGCCTTATTTACAACGAAAGTTAACTTGGTTTCCTCAAAATGTTCCAGAGCATATTATAAAGAAATACCAGAAAAAGGAGTATTCTGAGAATGTTGATCGTTCTTATGCAAATGGAAATTCGATATTTTATAAAGACAACAGTGATCCAACATTAAAAGAAAGTTATCTAAAATCGCCAACAAAGTCTTTGACGCAAGAGAGAATAATTCCAATTATACGAGAAACACGTGCAGGTCCTGCGGTTGGATATGTCCCTGAATTTACGTCATCCTATACTAACCGTAACTTCTAGTAAATATTCTGATCCACCAAGTCCTTACCTCTATAAATATTAGTTAAATGCTACTTATTTCTAAACGGTCAAAATTTACTGAGAAATTCTATGACTGGACATCTCTTTATTTCCTTTAACAAAATATTATGTTATTAACTGCCCTTTTAATTTTTAATGATATTTTCAATTAAATTTATAATATGTTACCAATTAGGTCTATAAATAGTATAGTCACTGATTTTAATAAATGGGCAGTTTCTATATTACTTTTTCATGGTAAATTTTGTTGCTCAAATTGTGGAAAGAGTTTGGAACTTGAGATGTTTTTAATCTTATTGGTTAATATTTTTTTATTACAATAAATACAACTAAAAATTCAACCACAAAATTGTTCCAAGCTCTGAAATTTTTGGGATCCTTAAAACAACGACAACTAGAGACATTTTTAATTTAATTACTCTTTGTTTAATTATTCTCACTTTTATCATTGTATTATATTGCTCATGAAAACTTCCCAGATTTTAGTGCTAACATATTACAAAAATTCGCTTTTACAAAAAATTGTGTTTTTATTTAATACTCCCCAATTTCTATCTTTATTCAAAAAAATATTTTTTAAAGATGTTAACCTTAACCTGTGACTAATGTCGACGTGATCTTGTTTAGATTGTATGTAAATTTTATAATTTCTAAAACGATAAATAATAAACCTACGAATAATATTTATTTACAAACAACTAGAAATTATCTACAACAATATATAAATACTATTAGGAACAATAATTAACCCTATTAAATTATATACCTACTATTTTATTATTATAATTAAGCTACGGAAATTCCTTTCTTTACATTTCTTCATATAGAGGAACTTCCACTCCTTGTTCCACTCCTCCATGTTCCATTGGTGTGTGGATAATAGTTTCTGGCACTTCAACACCATCTCTGCTTCTACGTTGTTCTTCATTATGTTGCTCTGTATCCGTTCCCACACCCCTCGCTTCACTTTTTTTGTCTTCTTCCTCATTATGTTGAACTTTTTCTGGCCTTTCACTTCTAAAAATTAAATTATTAAAATTAATTTCATATTTAAAAACTAACATTTCCGAATTATCAGCAATATTTGTAAGACCTGTTTGGCCTAAATCTTCAGCAGAATCAGCTTGATCAGACTCCAATGCAATAGTTTTTACAGCCATAAATTTACCATGTTCTTTCTCTTGTTTAGTTTTAATACTTCCTCCTTCTGTCATTCCATCTTCTACCACAATTGTTGTTTCATCTTCTTTTCCAACAACTTTGACAGGTTTTGGTTTATAAAAGATTAGAAATAGTATAATTGGCAATAACCTAAAATTTAAAAAAATTTCCTTTTAAAAAATATTTTAATAATAAAACTCACAAAATTAATATGACAACCAAAATAATTAAAATAATATCCGTTAAACAGTCAGAAAATGAAAGTTCTTTTTTGGTTGGTTTACTACTGACAATAACTGTTGATGATGGAATTGATGGAGGTGAAGTATAAATACTTTTAGAAGTCTGAATATTTGTTGTAATTGTTTCATTTTGTTCCTTAAATTAAAAAAAGATTTTTTTATTTAAATTTTTAATTCTCTTACCGTTGTTAAAGAAATATTTGTTGAAGAAGCAATTGAAGTAGTAGCTAATTCAAACTCGATTGCTTCAATACATTTATCAAGCGTTTCGGTCTTCTTTGTATTATTCTTATTTATGAGAAAATAAAGTCCTTTTGCCTTTAAAAAGAAAAAAAACACTTAAAAATTAAATAAATTCCTCTCACATTTGTTGAGAATTGAACAATGCATGGTTCCTCTTCTTTTCTTTGAATTTTAAACGTAAGAAGACCGTATTGTTTTCCTTCAATTTGTTTGTAATCAATTTCACAGGTCATTGTAAATGTAGTGTTACATTCCATTTTTTCCTTCCCTAGACCAAAAAAGTTGCACGTAATGTCCTAAATAGTAAATTAAATAATAAAAAAACCTTTCAATACCTCTTCACTTGTAGAGCAATTATGAGAAAATAATTTTTTAGTTTTATTTTCGCAAGATTTAACTTTTTGCGGAACACGTTCAACTATAGCATCTACTTGTTTTTCAGAGTCTGGCAATAAGTCTTCACGGTATTTATTTATATTTATTTGGAATGTGATATTCTTATTCATGTTGTTTGGAGCGATTGCATAGAACTCATCCCTGATAAAAAAAATTTTTAAATATCTTTCTTATAAATTTACCCTTTATTTGAATACACTCCTTCGTCGCCAACTACTTTGTTGTTCAACATTTCAGAAGAAAAACAATCAAATTCGCCTTTCAATTTATCAATATTTGGTTCTAAACCATCAGACAAAAATGGAAGCAACAGATTGACACAGAAGAGCAGAAGAAAATGAACAGCATTCATTTTTAGAAGGATCTTCATTTTGTTTTGTTTATACAAATAAATGAAGCAAGACAATTCGCTTTTTATACTAAAAAATATTTATAAAAATAAAAAGTATTTTACTTGAATTTTTACAAATATTTAAAATTATTTTAAAGTAAATACAACATTTTTATTACCAACACATAAACAAATACAATATATTAAATAACACAATTAAAATATATTTATTTTCCTCAATCATATATGGAAGAAGGCTTATTTGCTTTTGCCACATTTGCCGGTTTGGTAAAAGAATACAAACTTGGACTTGGCTGTTCCTGCAATGTCTCTGGCACTTCAACGCCATCTTTACTTTTAATTTGTTGCTCAACCTCATTATTATCATCATCATTCTCTTCATCAACTTCTTCTTTACTTTTTCCTTCTTTATTCTTACCAACAGAATCACTTCTAAAAAATATTTCTTTTAAGATTAAAAAATATTCTCACGTCTCAGATTCCTCTGAAATATTTGTAAGCCCTGTGGGATCATAATCTTCACTTCCACTGGTTGTCAAAAAAGTTGACCTCACTGCCATAAAATTATTAGGACGATTCTCCTCCCCCATTTCAATATCTGATGGATTGCTGGTATAACGACTTTCTTTAATTATAATTGTTTTTTCCTCTTCAACAACAATAACGGAGGCAGCAGGCTTACGACAGCAGAGAACCAACAAAATAATCAAAAACCTTAATATAAACTTTAAAATTAATTTAAAAAATTAAAAACTCACAGAACAAACAAAACAGCCAATATAATCAAGATAATATCAGTTAAGCAATCAGTGATCGACAAAGATTTTGTGAATGGACTGCTTGTGATATTTAATGCTGTTGTACTATTATTGAAAGTTGGGGAAGAAACAGAAGTATTCGAAGGCGTAGAAAATGATTGGTTATTTAAAGAGAATTGTGGCGCCTAAAAGAAATTTAATTTTTTAAGAGTTAAAAATTTGAACCATTTCTGTCGAAGAAGCAATCAAAGAAGAAACATTTTTCGTATCAACAAATGAATTAATGGTGTCCATTGTACTTGTAATTATAGCTGTACTATCAACCAAAAACTCTGTTGTTGTTATTGTGTCATTTTCAAAATATTCTTCTTCTGATGTTTGAGAAATAAAAATAGTTGTTGCAATTGTAGTATTTACTTCTTTATCTGTTGGTTTAATTAATGAATTATTCAATTCTGTTGTAGTTTCAACAGACAAAGTTTTGGTTGAATTCTTTAAAAAATATAAAAATTAATTCAAATTAAAATATAAAAATTATACCATTAAATCCATTGCAGAAGTTGAATTTGTCATTTCATTTTGAACAGGAGGAGAAGTTAAAGAATTTTCATTAGATAAAGATTTAGGTAGAGAAGTTGTCGATTCAATTGAGGGAATTGTTGTTGTATTTATTATTGAAAGATTTTTGGTTAACAATGTTTTTGTTGTTGGTAATGTTGAAAGAACATCCAATTTTGTTGATTCCTTTGTTTGATTGACCGAAGAAATATTTGCCGTTGTAGATAAAATACTTTGTGTAAATTCTTCATCAGAAATAATTTCATTCAAAAAATTCTCCCCTTCTTCTAATTCTTTTTCACTAGTCGAAGAATTATTTGTTGTTGTAACATTGTTATCCAAAAGTAAAGATTTAAAAACTTTGATTGGAATAGAAGTAGACAAATCTTCAAATGGAATGGACGATTGAGAAGTGATGATAATTGGTTGCTCATTTTTGGTTGAAGTAATATTCGACTCTTCATCCATCGTGTTGTTTAAAATATGCCCAATTGAATATCCATCTACTTAATTTTTAAAATAAATTTAAAAACAACTAACAAATACCTGCCGTCACACAAATAAAGAACAATTGAAGAAAACAAAAAATAGTAGTAGAACTAACCCCCATCTTTTCTGAAACACAAAAATGTAAAGAATTAAAAATCTTTTTATATGCGCACCAGATACTGTGTAGAGTAAAAACTCGAAAAATTGAAAACAAAAAGAAATCTATATTTTTATTAATTACAATAACTATGGAAATGTTAAAAATATTACTTTTTGATAATTTTATTAAACCACTAAATATTATTTTCTTTATCATCCTCAAATTCCTCATCAGATTTGTTCTTGTCAGTAAACCCAATAGAAAGAGATTTCATTTTATGTTCAATACCAAGAATTGATCGAATATCGCTTAATTCTTTCTCAAAATTGGTCATTTTGACCAAAAGACCTGAAAAGTAAATTAAGGAAAAAATAAATTTCTAATTAAATAAAAATTAAATTTTCAAGAATATTTCTAAATTTACATTCAAAACATGTTGAGCTCTCACGCTTCGCTTGTTCGTTTTCTTTGACTATTTTTTTGGTCTGTTGCTCGAGTATATCTATTCGTTTGGATATTTCAGAAATAAAAGTTGACTGCTTCAGCGTAATGGCATCAATACGTTTCATCACCTTGAATTTGTAAAATAAAAACTTTCCCTAACAAAAAGTCGTATTTCTTATAAAAATTGAGTTTCTCGAAAGGTTAAAATTACCAAACGTCGAAGTTCATTATGTCCTCTCTCCATTTTTGTATTCATTTGAATTTCTGTGTCGACGATTTGAGTTTGAAGAGCTTCAAATTTGCTATCAGAAGTAATAGAAACAATTTCTAAATAAATTATAAAGTGAGGAAAATTACTAAATCAGGAAAGCAAAAATCTTTTAACCATTTTGCAATGAAAAGTGACGTTTATCCTGTTGACATACTAAGTTAATATCCGAAGAATCAAGATAAGCATTAAGAAACTTCAATTGCTTTTGAATTTCTTGTTCATCAATTTGGTTATCGAATGACTTGGAGGACGAAGTTTCTGTGATACTAATTAAACCTAAAAATCAAGTTTAAATTAATAACAACTCAATTAAATCATTACCCCAACCCAAATAGGAGTGGAGGCGGGACATTAATAAAGTACCCCGAACTGCGTTATTTAAGGCTCGACAGCCATTAAAGTACCAAATAATAAAAATAAAAAATACTTTTACTTTCAGCATCTCTGCAAGCCTTAAAAAGAATTCTAGCATTTATAGAATCCTGGCTGAATGATTTCCTAACTGATGAAGAACATTCTGAAGTATTTTTAGTAAAATCCATATTGTCTACTTAATTTTAAATATTCTAAAATTAAAGAAAAAGGAATAAAATAATTAATAGATTTAAAACAAAAAAGTAAATTAACTCAAATTAAATGGTTTATTACAATTAAAACGTATGTAAAGACCGGAAATCAAAAAGTAATGTGAGCAGTTTAAAGGTCAATTATATTGGGGGGACAATTGATAAATTTAGGAAAATGTTGAATGAAACAATGAAAAATAAACATTTTTTTGAGAATTTGTGACCTGCTTACTGGGAAAAACAATCATCTTGCAACTCAAAAATATACAAAAAACAATAATCAAATGTTGATTTAATTAAATTAAAATTTTACCAAGTATCATTATAATTTAAATTTAAACATTCTTTACTAGTTGTTGGCTCACATTCCAAACCAATTTCCTCGTAAGTATCAGAATGTTGATACTGCTCGCACTGTTCAGCAATTCTTTGTTGGTGCCTAACAATATCTCGAAGAAATTCAGGAACAACTTGCATTGACTGCTCTAAAATCTAAAATTAATTTTAAAAAAATATTAGTTTATAATTACTTACTACAATAAGACTTTTCGCTAAAAGAGAATCTGGCCCAAACGGATCAAAAAAGGAAGTTGCAAGTCCAGCATTTCCCGCTCGGCCTGTTCTTCCAACAGCATGAATATATTGAACAAGATTCTCTGGTGTAGGCAAATCATAATTTATAACATGATCAACCTGAATTTAAAAATCCTAACAAAAATCGTCAAAAATTTAAAAACAAACATTCGGAAAATTCATTCCTCGTGCTAAAAGGTCATTTGAAACAAGAATATCGTATTCTCCTTTCTTAAATTTTTCCACTGCTTCAGTTCTTTGTTTCAATGTTCTATGCCTTTAAAAGCATTTTATTAAAATGAGTATTTTTAACTATAGCACTTACGTATTTACTGGAATTACTCTAAATCCTTCACATGCTAAAACAATTGACAGGCTTAAAAATAATTTTTTTTCAAAATAATTTCTAGATAAATTAACCGGTCACATTCACGACGTCCATGAATGAAAATGACTGTTTTCTCAGTTTTATAAATTGTTTCTAAATTTAAAAAAGGGAAAGAATATAGAAAAAATATTTAAAACCTTCAAATGGCTGATTTAAAGTTGTTGACTTTTCCAAAAGAATTTTCAAAAGTGTCTGTCTTTTTTGAAAATGAGCAACCTAAAATAATTAATAAAATTCCATAAATTATTTAAATACAAACTTTCAATATTTTTTGCGTAATTGTGTTGACAACTTGATTAACCGCACCAGCACGGACCCAGCAATGATTTTCTGCCATAAATTCATTTTTAATATCATTAAGAGTTTCAACATCAAAAGTGGCACTTAACATGATTGTTCGGTGTTTTGGTTTCTTAAAAGTCGATATTTAATAAAACAAAATTTAAAATACCAAATAACCAAAATCATTTAATCTGCGAAGCTCATCCAACGCACATTGCTTTGAAAGAAATCTATCGGCCTCGTCAAGCACAAAATATTTCATTTTATATGTTGTTACCTTTAATAAATTATTAAAAATTGTTTTTCAAAAAACATACAACAGAATAGGCCAAATAATCACAAAGTTTGCCAATTGTAGAAATAAATATATCACATCCTTTTTTGAGGGTTCTTATTGAATACCCAGACGGCATATCGCCAATTGCATAAGCAACTGAAACTGATGTTCCTTAAAAGATTTTAATTTGATATTTGAAAAAATAAAAATTTTATTGAAACTTTAAGTTGGGAGAAAAACTAACCAGATGCAAAAGCAAGTGCATCCTCAAATAATTGCATAACCAATTCACGAGTAGTTGCAAGAACAATCCTAACATATTAATACAAAATTTAAAAAATATAATCTAATAAAAAATAAATACACATAGGGAGAATCACTGTTAAAAGTTATTTCTCCACTTTGATGCCCTTTATGTATTTCATCAATTATAGGCAATAAAAATGCAGCAGTTTTCCCAGTGCCGGTTTGTGAATGTCCGAGTATATCATCTTTAATTGATTAAAATTAATTTTATTATCAAGCGGCAGTGAATGACTAAATCTTCTAAAATAAAAGCATTTTTCTTACAAGAAACAAATAAAGCTGAAAAGAGGAAAAATGCTTAAAAAATTTATTTAACCCACAATCTGTATCCCGAATCAAAGGAATCATAGCTGCTTGGATTTGTGTTGGAGTTTTGTAATTCTTCTTTTTAATATTCTCCATTATCGATACATCAAAATTACATTCTTCAAATGACCTATTAAATATAGAAAAGAAAATACAAAATATTTTAAATTACTGTGGAAATTTAATAGTTAATTTTTCTTCTCCACGATAAATATGTACATCCTCAATTTTAACTGATTGAAAATGAGGGCCAGCAGCAATTTGTAAGTTGGCATCAAAAAGTTCATCGGTTGTTTTGCTGTCAGGTATAAATAACTGACGAATTGCTCGTTTTATAGAATTACTTTCCTGTCGAGATTTTTCTTCTTTTTCTAAGTCAGGAATTTCCGAAAATATTTGTGAGAAAAAATTGCCAGTTTTTTGAGTTGTCATTGAAATTGCTGCAAGTAAACCCCTAAATCAAAAAAATGATAGTCAGGAGCGGAAAGTAAAAAACATAAAAGAAATTAAAACAAAAGTTAAAAGGGAATCTGAAAATTTATTTAACAAAATCTAAAAATTTATTTTATAATTAACAAAACGCCAAGCTTTCAAAAATTCAAATCGCAGAAATTCAAAGTTTGAATTTCAAACGTCTATTTCCTAACCAGTATAATTTTGACAAAATTCAGCTAATTAGACAAGTTTTAGGCAATTCATAAAAATTTAACAACTTGTTAACTCAACAAAATATAAAATATCTACAGAAAAGAACATTACACCGTTATTAGTACAATTTATTCCATATGCATATTATTACATAGACTATTACATTATACAGCGAATACACACATATAATCATTTGGGACGGAACAATTTACTATATTTTATACCTACATGCAATTACATTATGAGATAAGGAATGTCTTTATGTTGAATTTACATAATGAGTGCATTTAATGGATTTTCTATTTTTACTACTCGAACCTCTACTATACTTGGATTTGCTATTTTCTTCTTTCATCTAGACAGTAGTCGCTTGCGCCTTACCCAACGCCCGAGCTCGAACATGCATCCGAAGGTGTTTCACAAGTGTCGGGTTCTTCAGGTCCGTTTTGTTGCCGAACATGGAGAGAGCGATCTTATGAAGTTCGGAGCAGTACATAGGCATCTTCTACAATGAAAGGAATTTTCATTATGAATCTCTATAAATTACTAATTAAAACTTACATCGAGCAGTGTCCAGATAGTAGAGACAACCATACTAGCAGCCATTGCGCAAAACAGCCAGAATGTCATGAAGACAAAAATCGCCTGTCGCTTACCGATACCTAACGAGTACAAAGCATTCGCTAGTTGCTGGAGCTGGGGTGCCTGATCTACTATTTTGTCCCAATAGGTGAGATTGGTATCGAACAGGCAGAACGTGGTGAACACAAAAGCAGTCAAGAAGGTGATGAATGAGACAATCTTGAAAAAAGAAACTTGCTCAATTAACAAAGCCAATTTATTTCTTACATGCATCAAGAACATCGGAAACAGCATCGCGCTATTCTGCTTCAGACAACCCCAAATGGCTAGCAAACACATGCTCCCAACAACGATCAAGGCTATGATATGGTCTCGATGGCATTTGAAGAAGTACCCAATCAGAGCCAGATAGATTATGTAGTAGAAGCCAACAAAGATAGTCGTACCCTGAATTTGGAATGAGATAAAAGAAATTTCTACTGTATCAACGCAAATTTTGATTAACTTACTAATGCACGTTTGTAGACTCGGAAGCGTTCCAGCGCCATTTGAAGCTCAGAAGAAGCAACGCAATTACAATCCTTGGGCGGATTCTGACATCCTCTCGAGATCCTTGCAGCCGCAGTAGTTGTCGTGACAACATTGTAGGGAGGAGGAGGAGGGAAATCCGTTGGCGCTTCCGACGTCACCATTGATGTTAATGCTTGTAGAGTTATGAACAATTAGGGCTTGTAGATTGTGTACAGTCGCTTGTTATGCGAAAATAAAATGTCCTAAGCTTTTATATTAAGAATTTGCTCTTAATATGCATACTTATGATCATTTAGTAATTTTTTCTGACATAAAATTTTGCAGCTGTCAGAAATTTACTGACAGAAAGAGTGCGGATTTAATTTCTGTAAACTTTTAAAAAGTAGTTTTAAATTTATCTTTTGTTCATTTTTAAATTAAATTTTACATTCAAATTAATATTTATTGTGAATTTAAACAATATGTATGTATGGATATGTAATTAAATATTTCTTTAATTTCATTCAATAACCAGGCGGTGTTCTCGGCATAGGACAATGAGTGCAGTCTCCAGAAATACCTTTATCGCCAATCGCACCATTAGGGCCTTGTATTCCCTTTCGGCCATCCTTTCCAGGTCGACCTGGATCGCCAGGTGGACCTTTCGGTCCTTGCACAGTATTTCCTGGCGGACCTTGGCATCCAGTAATACCTTTTGGTCCCTTGGGCCCAGTTTTTCCTGGCGGGCCTCGAGGTCCATCGGCGTGGAATTGACGACCCGGAATGCCTGAAGGACCTGTAAATTAAAATAATTTTTAATAATTAATTTTCAAAAATCGTTAATCACCTTGTGGTCCTACAGCACCAATATTTCCGACAGGCCCAGGTGATCCTTCCATTCCTGGTTCTCCACGTTTTCCTGCAAATTTGAATAATTTTCAACCTCTAAAAACATTAATACCGTCAATTCCACTGTTCCCATTCGCTCCTCTAGGTCCAGGAGGTCCCCTAGGTCCTTGCAGTCCCATTGGTCCTCCAGGTCCTACAGGGCAAATAATACATGGTTCTTTAAGTGCACCATCAGAGGACAGAATCTAAATTGAAGTAGCTATTAATATTAATAATTTCAGAAAATTAGAAAATTACAGTTCCATCTCTTCCTGCTTCTCCAGTAGCACCTGGAGCCCCATCTTGTCCATTTTCACCTTTAGAATTTTTTAGTTGAAAATAATTATGTAAATATCAAAACTTCTAACCATCTTCTCCAGCATCCCCCTGTTCGCCTGGTGCACCTTGACAACAACAACATATTTCTATTGTTGCCTCATGCCTCATTATAGGAGAAGATTGAGGTTTAATTGAAGGTGGAGAGGGATCTGAACCTAACACCAATGTTTCAGCTCCACCATAAGCTGAGGCAGAAGAATCAAATTCTGGAGATTGCTAAAAAAATTCCCCAAAATATATTTTTGTTTTTAAAATAATAATTTACTTTTTTGTCATTAATTTCATCTGGCTGTGAAATAGGTGAAGATGCTCCGTATCCACCATAAGAAGCAGATGAGGGACTTTTTTGTTCAGAACCTGTAAAAGTTTTTGCTGCATGTACAACAGAACTATCCGGCACCCAACGGCCAAAAAGCCAAGCCTTTAAAATTATTTTTAAAATAAAATACAAGATTATTTACTCTTTTTTGCCGAATTTGAATTTCTTCATTATTTTCCTCATTTTCCATTTCTGTCCAAAAATTTCTTAAACGTATTCTACAAAAATCTGATTCAATTTGGATATCAGAATGCAACGTTCTAACTGATGAAAGAAGTGCAGGCAAAGTAACTAGAGCTAATACAATAGAACAACAACAACAACAAATTGAGAACATTGCCAATTGCCTGGCATTTCTTTTAAAAATAATTAAAATTTAAAAAAAATTATTTTTTACTTTATTTCTCGTTTCATTTTTACATCTTCATCAATAATATTTTCTTCTTGATTTTCTAAGGAGGAGCAGCCCAAAAGTATTAAAATATTTTCCATTTTTTAAAGAAATATTTAAATGAATTATTTAACTAAAAATCCAATTTCTTTTATTTAGACTATTTTAACAACCACGATAAAAACCTGATTTTATTTTTAAAAAATTTCGGAAAGATTATAATCAATTTAAATATTTTTAATTTTTGCCCTTCAAATTTTCTTCCAAAAATTTTTTCTTTTTCCTTTTTTCTTTCGCAACTTTTACTGCTTCCTTTCTGCCCACGCCGTCATTTCATTTTTAATTTTAAAACTATTTTTATTAATACATTTTCACACACAAAGTAATTTTATCCGAATAAAAACAAAAATTCAATTCATTTTAAATTTGTAGCCGGTTTTTCTTGTCTCTCTTTTTTCTTTGCACAAAAGTGAAAGTACATATTTAGAGTAGAGATAAAACCTTTTTTCTTTAATTTTAAGATAAACTTTTTAGCCTTTTTTAAGTGTTTAAAATTATTAAGAAAGACAAAAATTTATTTTTTTTGGAAATAAATTATTAAAATAAAGAATTTAATTAAGATTATTTAGTATAATTATCAACGGTGTCTAATTTCAAAAGATGGCAAAAATTTTAAAAAATTTTTAAAAATTAGAAAAAACTCACTTTTAACCCCTGTGTACTTTTTTAAAGAAATGAAAAAGAAAGGAGGAAAAAATAAATGAAGGGAGATAACCCAAGAGTAGAGTGTTTTATTGTTAAATAAAAGTCTAATTATAATTAATTAATTTAGAAAATTCACATAAAAATATAATAAAAATAAAAATCCCTTAAAAATGTATTTTTAAAATTTATTTTATGATTTCATTTCCACATATTTTTCCCTTTATTTCATAAAATGTTACGTTCATTTTCCATATTGCTTTTATTCTAACAATTTTTTGTGACTTTTTTTAAAAAAAGTTTCTACACCTTTTCCTTCTTTTTTTTCCTCCCAAGAGAGGAATATAGTGAAGACTAACGAGTATTTAGAATTGTGTAAATGTTGGAAGAAAATAAAAGGTTGATGGCCTTTCTCTTCCTCCCTTTCTCTCTCCCTCACTTTCCACCCTCACACAAAAAAACATTAATTTTTTAAATTTCCCCCACCCTCACTACACATACTTTTCCCTTCCCTCCCCTTCCCTTTCATTTCATTTCCTTCAAGCCGGTTATTTCTAAAATAATAAAAAGCTGTTTTGGACTGGAAAATGAATGAAAATTAAAAATATAAAAGTAAAACTCTCCAACAGTTTTTTAAAGAAAAAATGCCAAAGAAAATTTTGACTGACTGAGATTTTCTCTAAAAAAACATTCGGAGAAATTTCCAGACAAAATGAGACTAAAAAATAAAACAAAAATTATTTTAATCACGCAAGAATAAATTCTTTTTAAAAAAAACTTTTAGTTTATAGTAGGCAATTTAAATTCTAAACTTTTTTTGAAAATAAATAATTGACTTTAGGGCAGAATTAAGGAAATTTATTTAAATTTAAATAATTATTTTTTTGCATTTTTAGAAATCTAAAAGAATTTAAGAATGGGAAATAAAATTTATTTATTTAAATAAAAATTAAAATAAAGTTTTTATTTTTAATTATTTTTTAATTGTTTATTTTTAATTATTATCAAATAAAATAAACATTTTAAAGAAGTTTTTTGTGGCATCATTAAATAAAAAATCCCAACAAAGCAACTACATAAAATGTTTTTTTACCTTGCAAAAAAAGAGAAAAAGTTTTTTTCTTTCTCCTTTTTTTATTTTTCTGGATATTTTTCATTTAAAATATTTTTTGTTGTTATTCTGCCTTTCTGTTTCTTCCACTCAATTTTTGTGACCCCCAACATTCATTCTTTTTTATGCCAGCTTTTAAAAAATAAAAAGGAAATGTAAAAAGAATATTAAACATTCGTTTTTTATTTAAAAGGATTTTCTAAAAAAATTATTTTTTTGGTTAAATATATTATTATTTCCGAATATCAGTATTTTAAATAAGATTAAATATTAATTTTGAATTTATAATTATTTTTAAATTATATATTAAATTACATATACATATTTAAGTATAACCTTCTACTATTAAAATCTGTGTTTTATATCTTGAAAATTGTTTTTTTTCTTTTATATATTAAGCTAAAATAATAATAAAAGAAAATATTTAAATTAATTTTAAAACTTAAATTGAGCTCATATTTCAGAAAAAAATAGATTTTTCAATTAAATGGATTCCATAAATTCTTTTGATATTCGTCTAGAAAAGGATGTTTATTATCCAGGAGAGCCTTTAAATGGTGTTGTTATTATTGACTTAATGGAGCCAATTAAATTAAGAGGTTTTTAATTTATTTAAAGAAACATCCAACAAACAATCTGCCTTAAAAAATTGGGGTTCTTCTTCAAGTAATTTGAAATTTGAATATTTGTTTTGGTAAAAGTCTAATATTTTTCAAATTCAACTTATTTGATTTGAATTTTTAAAAAGTATTTTCTTTAATAATTAATGGGAATATTTTAATTCATCGTTGGGGGAGGTACATAATTATTGCAATCCAATTTTTTATGTTCTTGGGAGTTATAAAAATGGATTTGGATTTAATAGGGATATACCTATATTTTTAATATTGAATAACAATATTTATTTAGTAGCTAAAAGAGACTAATCTTATAATTTAATTAAATAGGAATTCGTGTTTTTCTTCGAGGGAGGGCTAGAGTTCAATGGAAAGTTTTAAAATCTGGTGAATCAAAAACTTTAAAAGATGACCAATACTTACTTGATGATAAAGCTTTACTTTGGGGAAGGGAAAGGCAACAACAGCAACAAACTTTTGATGAATTAGATGAAACTACAAGCATAGAAAGCGATTTAATTCAACAACAACAAACACAGATATTACCTAAAGGACTTCATGAATTAGCTTTTAATTTTAATCTTCCTCCAACACAATTACCTTGTTCTTTAGAAACTAAAGTATATAAATTACCTAATTAATTATTGTGAAAATATTCTGGTTAACTTAAATTTTCTAAAAATCTCTGAAATCAAGTTTAAAACACTCTAAAATTTTCTTTAAATAATTTAAAAAATATTTTAATTTTCTAAAGGCGGGAACAATTCGTTATTATGTTAAAGTACTTGTTGATATGCCTTATGCAAGTTCTCCACAAGGAATTAAGTAAATAAATAATTTGATTTTTAAAAAATAATTTACTTATTAAAAAAAGATATTTTACATTAATTGGGCCTCATATTGACTGCTTGGAAGAAAAATATTTGGTAGGTTAGTTTTTATTTAAATACACAAAGATACCTAATTATTTTCTAAAGTCCCCATTGACTGGGCAAGATCATAAAATTCGTTGCCAACCTTGTTGTCGTCGAGGGGTTGTTGCTTTAAGAGTAATTCTTGAAAGGAGTGCTTATTGTTGTGGAGAACAAATTAAATTAAATTTACATTTAGAAAATAGACAAGAATGTCCGACACAAATTTGTGTTAAATTAATTCAAGTAATTTAAATATATTTTTCTAATAAAAATAATTTTAAATTTAAGAATTTGGAATATAGAATTGATAAAGGTGGAGGGTTACCTTGTGAAATAAAAACTAGTTTGTTGCTTGTTTTTTAATTAAAAAATAAATTTATTTTTAATTTTTTAAAGTTCAATCAACAGCTTTAGAATGGAAGTAAATATATTTATATTTTAAATACCTAATTATTTTTAAAAAATTATTTTTTAGATCACAATTTGTATTAAAACATTCCCAATTAAATATTGACCCAAATAATTTGGATCCCTTACTTCAATTGCCAACACTTCCCCCAACAATGGTTTTTAAAAATAAAAAAATATAAAATAAATTTTTAATTTTTAAAAAAGATTGGATTTTGTCGTTTAATTCAACTTTATTATATTTTAAAAATAAATGTTAATCAATGTCCGTATATTAAAAATCAAAAATTAAATAAAGAAACTTCAACATCTAATAATAATATTCTTCCCCCTCCCCCTCCTTCTTCTACTCCTTCTTCAATTTCTTCTTCAGAATCTTGTCTAGAAATGGATTTTCCTTTAACAATTGCAACTGTACCTTTTAGAGAAATTCATTCACAATTTTATAGTGTTGTTTATGGTAAATATGGGGGAAAAAATTTTTTTTATTTTTTTAATGTAGAGTAAAGAATCCTTTTTTGGGGGGTTTTTTAAATTTATTTTTTTTTAATTTCCAAAGGAAAATGTTTAGGGGGTTGGGGAGTTAAAAATTGTCAATTTATCAATTATTTTAATTTAAAATTAAGATTTTTGTGGTGGACATGTAGAAACAGGAAAATATATATCTCCAGAATTTCGTCTCGGCCAAGTTTGGGATGGTCGAATACAGGAAAATGAAAATAATAATAATTTAAATATTGAAGAAATTGTTTTGTATAGGCCCGTTTATGTTAAAATAATTGGTGAACAACAACAAACAGAAAAAGCTTTAACTAGTAATAGCAGTGGTGGTGGTATATGTAGAAGACAATCAACTAGAATTGTTGGGGGTTCTAATAATGAAAATAATATTTTAACTAAACAAAAGGATGGGGTAAATATTTAAAAATTAAAAGAATATTATTTTAATGTCTGATTATTTTTAAATATTTTTATGCATAATGTTAACTTTTTCGCTCTTTAATTAATTAAGCAATTAAATAAGAATATCCCCTCATTTTTTAGACCAAAACTTGTGTCTAAAAATTTTTTTGCATAATTAAATATTTAACTACTATGTACTTATTTGCCAACTGATAAGAAAGATTAAAAAATATTTTATTTGCTAAATAACGGAAGTATTTAAAAAATTCTTTAAAAATAATCATCAGACATTTTAATAAATATATCCGGGTTTAAAATAAATTAATTTAAATTTATTTAAGCAATTATCAAATGGAGGATATTATTGAATTAAATAAATAATTATTATTGTTGTGATTAATAAATATACTAAATAGATTTATATTGCCTTAAATTATTTTTTATTTAAAAAAATTCCAAAAAAATAATTTTTAATATCCGTCCCTGTTAATAATATTTTTTATTTTTCACTTTTATTGTATATATTTTATTATTTTATTGCAAAAAAGTTTTAATAAAATAATTTTTGTATAAATATACATATTATCTAAACAATTTTTTTTTATTTTATGTCAATCCCTTTCATAATTAATATTTATATACTAAAGAATTTTTAATGTTCCAAGAATGGATAAATACAACAAAAATACCAAAAATAAATATATTTCTTAAGAAACCCTATTTGCAAAAAAATAATTAGAATTAACTCTTTTAAATAACAAATAAATGTGTGAATAACACATGAGTGTTATTAAATATAAATATTTATATTTTATTTGGGAATTTTTAGGTTCATGGGATCAATTTTAGTTGTTAATAGTAACGGGGAAGTTATTTAAATATTTATTATTTTTTTATTTAAAAAATCAATTCTTTTCCCGTTCATTTCTCTCAAAAAAATATTTAATGATAAAGAAAATCGAGAATGGGAATATATTTACGAATTGTTGTTTGACAAACAATAAATAAATAAAAATTAAAAATTTATTTAAATATAATGCCATATTTTATTAAAATTTATTTTTTTTGTTTTAAATAAATTACTAATTCAATTTAATAATTAAATAAACATTACTAATTTTATTTAAATAAATTTATTTAAAAATATTTAAACAAAAAATCAATTTATTTATTTAATTAATCCTTTGCTGAAAAAACCTTCAATTCTTTCTTTTTTTCTTTTATTAATTTCTTTGTTAAATCTTTCAATTAACAAGAAAAAACAAACAAAAAAAATGTTGAAAAGCAAATATAAATTAAAAATTAATTAAATTTAAAAATAAAGTTGAAATTTTTTTATTTATTTATTCTCGTTAATTTAAATTTATTTCAGATTTAATTTAAAAAACTATTTTTATTTAATCTTAAAAAGAATGCCCCATTCAGATAACAAAATGGGTCGTTGGGGGGCAGTTTCGTATATTGTTGGAAATATTGTTGGTTCTGGTATTTTTATTGTTCCTGGAAGTATGTTACAAAATACTGGATCTGTGGGGTTGTTTTTAATTGTTTGGTTGTTGTCTGCAGCTGTGGCTACTTTGGGGGCTTATTGTTATTGTGAATTGGGGACTAGTATTAGAAGATCTGGTGGAGATTTTGCTTATCTTACACATGTTAGATGGTAAAAATAAATAAATTATTGGAGGATTTTAAATTAAATTTAGCTTCATTTAAGAATAATTTTTGCGACTACCATATAACCTGTATTAATTGCTTCCCACAAATAATTACTCCACTTCCATTAATTACCCCACCCAGCGATGGATTGAAACAATAATTATACCCCCCCCCCAACTAATGCCCTAAAACACGTTCAAATTTCAAACCTCGTATAATTACCCTCCCTCGATTAATTACTCACTCCATCAGAAGGAAGATCTAAACAATAATTACCCAGAGCAGTTTTTAAGCGATATTAATTTGTTTTTTTCCAAGGAATGCAATAGCTTTTATGTTTATGAGTATTGGTTGTGTTTTAATATATCCATTAATGTTAGCAATCCAAGCAGAGACTACAGCAGAATACACCGTCCAAGCTTTTCGTTTAAACGAAAATTGTTCAAATAACCCAATTTTGTTATTTATTTTCAAAAAATTAATTTTTTCTCTTTTTGCTTTATTTATGATGTTTATTAATTTTTATTCTCTTCGACGAGTTGGGGCTCGTTTTCAAATTGCTGGAACTGTTGCTAAACTTTTAGCAACAACTTTAATTGTTTGTACAGCTATTTATATGTTAATTAGTAAAGGTATTAATTGTTTTTTAAATAATTTTAAGAAATATTTCTTTGTTTATTTTCGAATATCTGTGTCCATTGAAATGTGGACACAGATAAAAATTAAAATTTATTCCGCGAAAAGAATATTTAATATAAATCGTAGTCTTAATAGAAATATTTTGATTTAATTTATATTTTAACTTTCCTATGATATCTACACACCCCCTCCTTCTCTTTCAGCTTTCAAAAATACTCAAGTTTCACTTAAAAAAATCAATTTTAAGGCCAATTACAAAATTTCTCTTCACCTTTTCAAAATTCTAAATGGGAGGCTATGTCTTTAGTAAATGCATTTTTTGCCGGTTTATTTAGTTATGATGGTTGGGATGTTTTGAATTTTGGAGCTGAGGAAATTGAAAATCCAAAAAGAACAATGCCTTTTGCAATACTTTCTGGAATGTTTTGTGTTACTAGCATTTACATTGTGTCTGTCTTTAAAGTGAAGAAATAATTGAAATGTGGATAGGAAAAGAGAGGGAGGGGAGGATGGGAGGGGGGGGTGGGGAATAATTGGAAGAAAATAATTTTAAAAAAACTTTAATATAAAATTTAATTTTCCTTTTTTTAAGAATTAATCTCTCTTTTTTGGTTGTTCTTGATGCAGACACAGTTAGGGACAGTACAGCTGTAGCAATGGCAAGTATTTATATTATTAAATATATTTATGTACACATTTTTAAAACTTTAATTTTTTTAAAGGTTTTTGCCCAACAATCACTTGGACAATTTCAACATATAATGCCTTTTATTATTATTTTAGTTAGTTTTTTTGTTTATCTAATTAAATTTGTAATTTTTTCCAAAAAGGTTATGATGGGTGCAATGAATGGAACTATATTTACAGCTAGCAGGTAAATAAATAATTTAGTTTAGTTATTCGATTAATTAAAATAAATTTAAATAAATTATTTTTTAAAGATATTTATTTGCCGCAGCCCGTAGCAGACAAATTCCATCATTTTTGGCTTTACTTAATCCAGAAAATGATTCTCCCAGAGCTTCTATTTTTACTCATGTTTTAATGGCAATTTTATTTTCTTTTGTTGGGGACACAAATCAATTAATTAATTATTTGGGGTTTGCCCAATGGCTACAAAGAGGATTTACAATGTGTGCATTATTGTGGATTAGATTTAATTTTAATAATTTTATTTTACATCCAGATGCTATTAAAACACCTATTGTAATTTATTTATTTAAATTAAAAGTGTCTCTCCTTAAAATCGGGAACAGACCTGGGCGAAACTCAAAATTTTTTTCTGACGAAACGAAACGAAACAAAATTTTTTTAAAATCGTTTCGTTAACGAAACGAAACGAAACAACCTAAATCTTACGAAACGAAACGAAACAAAACGAAACATTTTAATATTCAAAAAATTTTCAAAACTTCATTTATTTCGCAATTATTCGACCTCAAATACTTTATTAGTCGCCTACGATTTATAAATGATTTAGTTTTTGGTTTATTTACAACAATTTGTCCCATAAGCCAGGCCCGTAGCAAGGAAAATTTTCGGGGAAGGGGGGGGGGGGGGTCAATCATTTTCGAAGCCGAATTTTTGGCGACGCTTTTTTTCAAATAAAATTTAATATTTTTCAAGTAAAATTTTATTTTAAGCGCCGCAGACGAAAAATTTTAAAATTTTGAAAGGCCGTAGGCCAAAAAATTCACTATCTTGCTCCATTGCCTACCCAAATTGTCTCCATATCTCCATTTCGAGAGGAGAGCGATATAAGCTAATGCTTCGCCGGAAGTTCCGGTTCCAGTATTTCCGCAACTCGCAATCCGCAATTTTTAAATTATGATGCGAGTCCGGTAATAGAATTTGTCGTCGATTAAGTAATATGTATATGCGGATTAGGGAGTGGAGTATAAACGGATTTGTAGTATATAAGTAATTGATATCTTCCTTTTTCAGCGCCGCAGGCGAAAATTTTTTTAATTTTCAATAAAAGATGGTTAATTTTATAGATTTTGGCCTTAGTTTAGGCTTAAAAAATTGTTTCGTTTCGTTGAAAAATCACAGGTGTTTCGTAACGAAACGAAACGAAACAAATTTAAAAGTGTTTCGTAACGAAACGAGACGAAACAGTAAAAATCATACGAAACATACGAAACAACGAAACGAAACGAAACGTTTCGCCCACGTCTGATCGGGAAGAGGGATTTAAAATTAAATTTTTATTTTTCTCTTACTTTTTCCCTTAAAGCCCCCCCCCCCCTTATTTACCTATATTTTTATTTTATTTTTAATTAAAGTTTATGCCAATAATTTTCCTCTGTGTTTGTTTATCGTTGGTTGGAATTACAATAATTCAAGAATTTTCTGTTGCAAAATTTGGTCTTTTAGTTTTGGCAATTGCTTTTTTAATTTATTTTGTTTTTATTTGGGAAAGAACTTTTTTAAATCGTTTTCCTATTTTTAAAGAGAATTTTTCTTTAATTAATGGTAATTTTTTTTAAAAATTAAAAATTAATTTTCTTTTTTAGATAAAATAGCTTCTTTTGTACAAATTATTTTAAATGGAAAAATAGAATTATTTAATGGAGAAGAATTCCTAAATAATGATCCAAAAATTGTTGAAGAAGAAAATAAAATAAAAATAATAACAGGAAATATTAAAATATATCCTTTAAAAGATGAAGAAAAAATTAACGGAAATTACAAACAAAGAAGAAGAAGAAAAAGTAATGAATTGACTAAAATTAATTAAAATAAAATTAATTTTCCGTGATATTATTTTTTAATATTAAAATATTTATTTAAATCAAAATTTTTAAAATAATTTTTTTTTAATTTTAATTTTAATTTCAATAAATATTTCTTTTTTTATGTAGAGTAATTTTCTTTATTTAATTTGTTCATTTAAATTGTTCTATTTTTTATTAAAAATTTATTTTTTATTTTATTGTTTTTTAAACTACAACTATTAAATTAGTGTTCCTTAAAATTAAGGAATTTACTAATTTGTAAAATTATTTTCTCTTTTATCAGTCCACATTTCTTTAATAATTAATAAAATTTACTAATTATTTTTACTTTAAAAAAATGACAAAATTAGAAAATCAAATGGGCCGTTGGGGGGCAGTTTCGTATATTGTTGGGAATATTGTTGGTTCTGGTATTTTTATTGTTCCGGGAATTGTTTTGAAAAATTCTGGTTCTGTTGGGCTTTCTTTGATTATTTGGCTATTTTCTGCTTTTTTTGCTATTGTTGGGGCTTATTGTTATATTGAATTGGGGACGAGTATTCGAAAATCTGGTGGAGATTTTGCTTATCTTACACATGTTAGATGGTAAATAAATTGGTTTTTTTTACTTTATATAAAATTATGCATTTCTATTAAATTAGTGTGCTTTTAGTGGTTCTTAATTTAAAAAAAAATTTGAATTTTCAAAATAATTAGAGAAATTAAAAATGTTAACTAGTGTTAGCTTATTATTTGATTTTTTTATTTTAAAAAATAATAATGTATTACTCAATTTCAGGTAAATTTTCAGTTTTCTGACAAATTTTAAATCAAACGGTGAAGACAAAAATGAATAAAGAAAAATAAAAAAAAATCTTATCCATTTCCCAATAAATTTTTAAAATTTGCTTGAAATTAAAATTAATTCCCTCCAATATTTTTAACTTAAAAAAAGGAATGCAATAGCCTTTATGTTTATGATGGGTGCTTGTATATTAACATTACCATTAACAATAGCAATACAAGCAGAAACTTTTTCCGAATATTTTCTTCAAAGTTTAAATATAAAAATTTGTTCTTCAGAATTTTTAAAATTATTTTAAAAAAAATTTATTGGCTATGGACTTTGCTGGATTTTACTTTTTATTAATTTTTTCTCCTTACGAACTAATGCTGCCAGATTTCAAATTATCTGTTCTTCAGCCAAACTTTTAGCTGTTTGTTTAATTATTGGAATTGGCTTTTATGTTTTTATATTTAAAGGTAAATGTTAATTAGAGGGGCCAACCCTAATTAAGAGAGAAGATATTGATGGTGATACGTTCAATAGATAGATTTCCCAATGGCACGCAAGCGAGTGGGGTTCTGCTTAAATTCACCTTCTCTCTAGGCGGGGTTTTACTATTATCTCAAGGATTGCAATAGCCTTTATGTTACACCTTTCAGTCTTATAATATATTCAAGATAAATTTTGATTTAAAAAAATTTAATTCAAACTAACATATATACTCTAATAATTACCCTGGGGAATTATTGTTTAAATTGAAGAAGGTAATTAGTTTAGGTATAAATAATATACAAAAAACTCCTTCCTATCATTACTCAAAATTATTCCAAATTTTATCTCTCCAACTTTTAAAATCTCCAAATTATCCCCAACTCTTAAAGGAAATTTAATTCTATATTTTTCCTTTTTTTCAAGAAAATATTAAAGCAAACTTTTCACAACCTTTTGCCAATTCAAATTGGGAATCTTCTTTTATTGTAAATGCCTTATTTGCATCATTATTTAGTTATGATGGTTGGGATATTTTAAATTTTGGGGCTGAAGAAGTTTCCAATTTAAAACAAACAATGTCTTTTGCAATGCCTGTGGGGATTATTTTAGTGGCATTTTTGTATATGGCTGTTAATTTGGCTTTTTTTGTTGTTATTCCAATTGAAGAAATTAAAGATTCTGCTGCTATTGCTACTGTTAGAGAATTTTTAAATTCTTTTTTGTAAATTTATTTGTCCTGATAATTAATAAGAATTGTTATTATGTAAAACTTGCGAAGTTTCCTTCCCGTTAATTGACAAAACAAAAATAAACCCCCCCCCCCCAAATCAGTCCAATTCTTTGTTCTAGGACGGATTCCTCTATAGGAAATTTTAAAAATTAATTTAAAAAAATTAAAAGATATTTGCCAAACATTCAATGGGTATTATCGAACCTTTAATTCCAATTTTGGTTTGTGTAATGCTTATTGGCTCTTTAAATTCAACACTTTTTGTTGCCAGTCGTTATATGTTGGCAGCTGCAAGTAAAAGACAATTACCAACATTTTTATTTTGTATTAATTATTTACATGATTCCCCCAGAGTTGCTTTACTTTTTCAAGTAAATTTAAATTTAATTTAAAAAAATAAATTTAATTTTGAAAGGTTATTTTGGCTATTTGTTTTTCTTTTTTAAACAGTCTCGACAAATTAATTTCCTATGTTTCTTTTGTTGTTTGGGCTCAACGTCTTTTTACAATCTGTGCTTTAATTAAAATTAAATTATTTAATCCAAAAGGGTTACCCCCAATTAATTCTGAAGCAATTAAAAATTCTTTGGTTAATTAAAAATTTAAATTTAAAAATGTTCATCTTTTTTTTAAAGTTATTTCCTTTTATTTTTTTAATTATTGCTTTATTTTTGGTTGGAAATACAATTTTTAAAGATTTTAGTACTTCGGCTATTGGACTTTGTATACTTGGATTTGCTTTAATTTTATATTTTTTATTTTTATGGGAAAGATCGCCTATATTAAAATCTAAAAAATATTTGAGAATATCTAATAAAATAAATGGTAGGGAATTTATTTTTGAGGGAAATTAATAAATAAATATTTTTTTAAAGAAAAACTTTTTATTTTTGTCCAAATTATTTTTAATGGAAAACAAGTAAATTTTGAGGAATATAAAGAAGAAAATAAAGAAATACCTCAAAACTCGAAGAAAGAAAATATATTAAGGAAAATGAGAGAAAGAAGAGTAATTAAAACAACTAAATTATAATTTATATTTTTAATTAAATTTTGTACAAATTTAGTAAATTTTATAAAACTTTTTAATGGGCGATCAGACTCGATCCATCCATTTGGGAAAAAGATAGAGCTTATCGAGAGATTTCGAACGATATAAGATTCATTTGGATTGAAGTAAGCATAAAAAAGTATAGTTGATTAAATTAGGAAAAAAGTACCAAAATTTTAAATTGAATAAAAATATTAATAAAATTTTTTAATAAAAAAATTAACGCATGAATCAGGAACAATTACCTATAAATTCTAAATGAGAGTCTAATTGCGTGTTATGTAGTTTCTTGTATTTTCTCTTCTTTATTTCGTTTTGATTGACAGTAGTGTAAACGATTTCAAACCGAACCGAAAGTTTTGGTTCGGTTTGTCAGTTCTGTTTCGGTTAACCGAAAAATTTGGTGAAACCGATAACCCTTAATTTTAACAGGTTAAAGAATAATTATGTGAATTCCGGATAACATTTACCAACTTTTGAATGAAAAACGGAAAAAACATCGTAGTTGTCTTACAAAACAATATAAAAACCAATGTTTGTTTGATTCCCTTTCTTTCCTTCCATTACTCCAACAACAACAACAAAATGAAGTTTCTTCTGGGATTCAACATTCTTCTGCTTCTTCTTTGTGCGAAATCGTCACTACCTTCTTCAACTCCTGAACCATCCTCGCCTGAGCCTGTTGAATTGGACTTTGCAGATTTGGAGAACAAGTTTCTCTGTCTTCAAAATGAGACATTGGATAAGAACTACGTTCAATTTGCACATAAGAATTTGGGAGATGGGTAAGAGAAATTTTAATTTTTTGTGTAAATAAAATTTTAATTATTAGGAGTTTCTTTGCAATTGCCCCAAACAGCATGAACAAGACGCTCAAATTTAATGTGACCATCTCTAAATATGATTCTGAAGCTGTGGGACTTGAGGGATTTGAGAGATATGGTAAAGTACCGAAGATTGCTGATGCAGATATCAAATCGGAAGTCAATGGAGATGTTACTAAATGGTACGCTAACTCTTGTATTCCAATTACTGAAGAAATGTTTGGGCATAAATGCAGTTTTGGAAAAGAGGTGATTTTTGGAAAGGATAAATAAAATTTAAATAAATTTTTTTAGAAAGTTAACTGTACTTTTGTTGCTAAAGGAAAGCCGACGTTTTGCTCCACTCAATTCAAAGCAGAATGTAATATTGACGGGAAACCAATTCTTGGACGTCCTTCTTACGATTTGCTTGAGTTAAAACTTCGAATAAAGAAATGGGGTAAATGTAGTGATACATTCTCTACAAATGTAAGGAAGAAAAGAGAATATTTTGTTTAGAAAAAATTTTCTTTTCTGTTTTTAAAGGCAACAGAACTTCATTTGCTTGTCAACAAAAGCATTACTATACCACCCAACAAAAAGAAGAAAAGTGCAACTCTTGATAATTGTGTGAAAGAAGAAATTCTGCCAAGTATTCCTTCTTTGAATGAAACAACAAATATTTCGGTAGAAAAAATTTAAAAAATTTTTCTTAAATTTTTATTTAAAGGTTCCATCATTCTCCAGCAGTGAAGGTCAATCTGTAGCTTCAACAACAACTCCTGCTCTTCTAACATCGCCTAGCAACACAACTAAAGTTGTTGGAACTACCAAACCAATCAAAAAAGCACTTTCAATAAAGGATTGTCTAACAAATCCGTTCTTGATTGTGTTGATTTTGATATTTATTGGGTAAATAGTTGGATAATATTTAAATATATTTTTCAAATTTTCTAGTTCATTGGCAGCTCTTGGTTATCTACTCTTCCGCTTCTTTACTAAACCTAAAGAACCTGAAAAAGATGCTGCTAAAGTTGTTGACGAAAAAACTGTTGTTGTAGAAGATGGTCAAGCAACGGGTGTAAAAGGAGGGGAAGTGGAAAAGAAAGCCAGTAACTTTATGGCTTTGAAAACTATTGGAATGGAGGCTGATGAAAATAAAGAGGATTTGGGTGAAACTGGCCTAACGAATATTGCTGATGATTCTGAATTGTTTGTTTTTTTTTGTTAAACAAACTTGATTTTGAATTTTTTAGGAGTACAAAAGAAAAGGATTCGAAAAAAGAAAAGAAGGAAGAGGACAAAAAGGAGGATGATAATAAAGACGAAGAGGAGGAGAAGGATGAAAAGGAAGAAGGAAAGGATAAAATCAAAAATGGAGTTGAAGTCCCAGAAACTATTCAAGATCAAGCCGACTTAACAAAGCCAGAAGATGATCCTCTATATGCTCCTGTATAAATAAAGAGAAAAGAAAATAAAAGGAAATGTTGTGGTAGGATATATAAATAAATATATAAAGTAAATCTCTTCATAAATAAATAAATATATGTATTGTTGTTGTTGTTGATAATATTGTTTGTATATTTTGTATTGATAAATTGTAATTATTGAAATAGTATAAACGGGGAGAGGGTAGTATTTTAAAAAAAATATTTAATTACAGAATATCCAAAATGTAGAGGAAACGGCCTGATTTGTTGAATAAAATTTAAACTTATTTTCAAATTAAAAAAAAATTCTGAAATATGCCTATAATGACAGATGATTATTTTTTAACGGGGACGTTCTAAATTCTTTCTTCATTTTAAAAATCAAAAATTTTTTTAAATAAATTTTTGTTTTTATCTAAAATAAAAATTACAAATTCAAAAAATCGTTAAAACTTATTCAAATACATTAATTTAATTTCTATTTATTTAATATTAGTTTCATTATTTGCTGCTCTTTTAATTGAAAGAATATTATTAGAAGTTATTGTTGTTGGTAATGTTGTTGAATATGTTGCTAAAACGGCAGCAGCATTTTTAATTTTTCTAGCTCTAAGTCCTGATTGATGACAAAACATTACTTGATCCCATTTAGATAAACATTGAACTAAATCTTTTCGAAGGGATTTTGTCCCCCATAATTCTCTTGGATTTGCCTTTAAAAAAAGAAAAATATATTTTTTTAATTTAATTGAGACACCTGAGAGCGGCAAAGTTCTAAACAACTTTGTCCAATTTCTTGTAACCCCATTTCTTTACAACAAACCTTTTTTAAAAAATAATTATTTTTAAAAAATTATTATTCTAAAATAATAACTGTATTGTCATGTGTCTGTGCTGCGCAATGGACAATAGCAGGTAAATATTTATATAATCTACATCTACTTGGTTGGATTGTATGCATTAACTTTTTAAATATTTTTATTTTTAATAATTATTTAAAAATAACCAAAACTCTCGCTTCAATAGGATGACTTTCATAAGTACAAATCCCGCGACATTCTGGGGGAACAAAACGATCACAACACGAACCAAAAACCATATCAGCAATTCTTCTATCTATACACGGTTTCCAGTCGGTTTTAGCAGTTCCACAGTCCTTTAAAAATTTTAATTCTAATTTTTATTTAATTTTAAAATATTCACTCCAGGCTGCTCAAAGTCACTAACATCTGCTTGGGCAAAAATTGTTGAAATAAATATTAAAAAAATATTTAATTGTAATAACATTTGACCCTTTAAAAAATATGTAGATTTTTTTTTAAAATATTTACTAACTAGTAATTAATTTGTCTAAAATCTATTAATCTTTCCAAACCCAAAATCTCTCAAAATAATTAACAAATTATTAAAAGATTGGGTAATAAGAGATGAACTTGCCCGAATTTAAATTAAAAACTAAAAAGGAGAACTCATCCATTATCTCCCACAACCAGAACACTAAAAATTTCTTTCACTCACTCATAAGAGAGGAGGGAAACAGTAATGTCTCTCTTAATTACAAAAATATTGAAGGGCTCCGAAATTTTTGGTCCTGTCAGTTCCAATTTTTGATTACATTTCTGGCCGGCTTAGAAATTAAATAAAATGCTACTATATTTAACTAGATAATATTTATATTGAAGAAAAATTTTAAAAAATATTTAAAGAATTTTTTTTTAATTCATTCAATGAGAGAATCATTTTATAAATAAAGGAGAAGAATCGATCAAGGATTTGGCGATATAATTCCATTTGTGATCAATCACATTGAAGAGAAAAGCATGCAAAAGCTTTAATAGCAAGTTATTTACATTACTTGTTATCTTCCCCATTTTTCTAATTAAGCGAAAGAAGGAATAAATTGAAAAAAAAATATTAGAAAGAAAATGTGTGGTGTAGTTATGCGCAATAAATTTTAAATGCCAAACAATAATTCCCATCACTAAAAAATAAAGGAATATTTAGTCACTAAATCAACATTTTATTATCCCTACAATGTTAAAATATGTAAGTATATTTACATAATTTTTATTTAATTTTCCTCAAATTATTCACCTCTATAAGGTTGAAAAATTTTTTTTATTTTTCAAAAGCCAAATAAACTGGTTTATTATTCAACTTTGTTCGAAAAAATAATTTCGTTTGGTTACATTAATTATCAACGAGGATACTGAACACATTCCAAAAACAAATAACAATCGATTCGTTAAAAGAAATTCTTGATTAAATTTTTAATTTAAAAATTTAAATTAATTCATAAATTTTATTAAAAACAAAAATATCCAAACAAAACAAAATATTTTAAAAAATAAAAAAATTCAATCCAGTCCAGTTTTAACAACTGTCTTAACAGTTTCAGGCAATTGAGGCTCACTCGCTGCCATTTTTGAATTCATACGCCTATTCTTGTCCTTTCGTCTTCTCGATTCACGAATTATACGATGTTCTCTTGCAGCACTTTAAAAACAAATTGAAAAAAATATTTAAACAAAGACAAAACCTATAAATAGCCTTTGGAACATGTCTATGTTTAACAATTCGACGAACTTCTGGGTGGTTTTGGTATGTTTCACGTAATCTTTGGTTATATTCCAATGCCGCTTTTTCACGTGGAACCAACTAAAATTAATTTTTTTTTATTTTTTTGTTTTTAAATAAACCGGTCCAAGTTTTTCTGCAGCATTTGCTTTCCAAAGTCTAACATTCATATCATCACTTCCAGAAAGAACATATTTATTATCTAAAGACCAGAGCACAGACAGAACATATTGCATTCGAGGGGTGTGATAAACTTCTCTAAAAAATATTTTTTTAATTATTTTGGAGAATTCTTTTTATTTTTAAAAAATTCAATGCCTGCTTCTCCACTGTTCTGCTGGGAAAATTCGTATAGATCTATCATATGAGGCACTAACAAATTCCTGTCCAGAAGGAGAATAATCAACATCCATTACCGCAGACGTATGTCCTTCATGTACAATTCTAGCCTTTTCTAGATGACGCATATCAAAAGTATATAAACTAAAAAAACAATAAATTTAAATAATTTATGTAAATAAAAAAATACTTATAATCTTCATTTGCCACAGTGAAAGTAAAAGACTCTAATGGATGCCAAGCAAGGGAATTACTTCTTAATTTGAGCACAACTTTTGTAAGAGGAGTTCTTTGCCGAGAATCTAACAGAAAAATTGAACGATCACTTGAACACCCAGCAATAATAGAATCTTCAATTGGATTGCAACGCAGAAAATTAACGGTATTTGGACCCAAATCGTAATGACGAATTGGAGATTCTCTTTAAAATATTTTATTTAAAATAAACCAATGAAAATAATCTTTAATAAATTATTGAATAAATTAATAGGAAAAGGTGAACCACAAAAAGCTGTCAACAATTACGAGGCCCTTAAAAGTGTCAAATAATTACCTGAATAATTTCCAAATACTTATTCCATCACCGCACGTTGCAAAATTTGACGAATTTACAATATGAGAAACAGAATGAGGAACATAATTAAGAGGAATTGAATGACAAGGCTCTTCTGAAAAGGGCACTCCACTACTCTCTGCTGGAAGTGCCCAAATTTTGAGTTGAGAATCTTGCCCAACGGTTATGAAATTATCTCCAATTTGCCCGTCGATTGAAATACCTAAAAATAAACTAAAAATTACCTTATAAAAAACAAACCATTAACAGGGCCATTATGAGCCTGGACTGTTTGAACACATTTTTTGGTCACCAAATGCCAAACTTTTACTTGACCATCCCGAGCGCCCGAAAGAACAGTTGAAAGACGAAGAGGATGTTTTTCCAGTAAATTAACTGCTTCATTATGTCCATCGAAGGATGCCAGGAATGGTTTGGCAAATACTCTCTCCAATTTAGCTCTTTAAATATTTTAAAATTTAAAAATAAATTCTAAACAAACGCATTCAATGCACGTGTATATTCCACTTGATGACGAAATGGGTCTTGATTTACTATATAACTGCGCGATGCTGAAATATTTCTAAAAATTTTAGATTTTGTTATCCCGTTAATTTATAAGCATTCTCTTAAAATATTTCCCCCAAGTAGAGATGAATTAAGAGAAAACTTAATTTTAGTTTTTAGATACTGGAGACTTTTAATTCAAAACATTTCATAACTAACCCTTAAAAATATCCTTCTTGGTTTCACGTTGATAATCGTCTGGATTCCTTGAAATAACCTTTATTTTCATACTTTTTGTAAAAATAAACACTTAAAAAATCAAAATCTTTTATAAAAAATATTAATTAAGTCTAAAACTTTATAAAAGTTATTAAAAGCAAAGAGAGATTTCAAAATTTATAATAAAATGTTAAATGAAAAAGACGTCCAAGATTCTTTTGTGTCTTAAGAGAGACTTTTCTAAAGTCACGAAAACAAGGGATCTTTCTCCCATAAAATCGGGTGTGTAATCTTGGGTCTCGAATCACAAAATCTTCGGCCTTGGACGTCTAAATTAGATTAGTTTACATTTATTTTAATTTTTGCGAATTACATAAATAAAGCAGGGGAAATACGAAAAATTTCTTGTAGGTATGCGGGAAAAGGGGGAATAGTCAAATTCTTAACTAACCACAAAAGCAGATATTTATTCATCAGAAAAAGTTAGGTCAGAGAAGGCCAGTTTGTTACAAATACCGAATTGGTTTAAAGAAAATTAGCTCGTGTGGTTAACTCTCTTTTTGGAAAGCTACATAATGGAAATAAAAGTTCAAAAAACTTTCAAAAAAATTTCCAGAAAACTAAAAATTTGATGAATTAAATGTGGCTAAATGGGTTTGAATCAGAGCAGACACCAGGTATAAATGGAATGGATTGCATAATTTCTTTCGACCTACTAAATTCTTTCATATATTCATTTCACTGTTCAAGAATTTTCATCTTCACTCATTTCATTGGGTACTGGATTGCTTTGAATGCCAAAAATATCATGAGTATTCTCATAATCTTTGATCTATAAGAAGTCTCAGGTTTTAAATATTCAAAAATATATGTAACCTGCTTGAAAAGCAACTCTCTCCATTGTTCCAGGGAAAGATCCGGTGAACTTAATATTTATATAAGAGAAAGGTAGAATTAAAAAGAGATACTGGTCAGGATCAATATATGGAGGTGGTGGCGGACCATCAACTTAAAATAATTAAATTTATTGTTATCAAATTAATAAACCTTCATTTTCATCATACCACTAAAAACAAAAGGAAATTAAAGTTTAAAAAAAGAATTACAAACCAGACTGACGTAAGGAAACTTCAAAGCATCGGATACAGTGATTCTTAATATTTTTATATCAAAATTATTTCTTATAAAAAATATATTAAACCTCTGCAGGGGATTTAATACAAGCATTCTAGATATTAAATCGCGAGCATTTTCAGCTAAAAATATAAAACAGATAACAGGAATATACTGAAAAATTTACCATTTAATCGGTCATTAATATTCTTTGGGAATATACTATCAGGAAATATTTCTTTCCAATCACGAGTTGCTAAAAAATTATATTAAGCAAGAATGAAGTTTTAAATTTATTTAAAGGTAGCTGAGGATAACTTGAAAACTTTTAAGAGAACAAAATAACTATGGCTCTAATCCAGGATAAATTTAACAATAAACATAATGTAAATATTTACCGACATACGGAAGTTTTAAAATATAATTTCGAACTTCTGGCTGAATATAAAATTACAAATTACTCGCAGAAAAATAAGAATGCCAACCGTTAACAGCTTTGTAAAATCATTGTCAGGCGATCCTAGACCATCAACGATTTTTGTCCATTGGTCGATGTAGTCATTGCCAGGGAAAAATACCTTTTTAAAATAGAAATTATTTTTAAATGAATCTCACTTTTCTAGTTAACAATTCAGCAAAAATACATCCAATAGCCCATACATCAACTTTAAATAAAAGTTATACAATTTATATCAAAAATTCTCTGACCGTTTTCCTTATAAGGTATTCCTAAATAACAAAATTTATTAAATGTTTTTAATATAATTTAACCTAAAATAACTTCTGGCGCTCTATAATAACGCGTAACAACCTAAATATTCAACATTTTAAATAAAGCAACATAAAACAAACATATGGAGTTTTGAGCTGAAAAATATATAAAAATATAAATTCTGCTTCAATTATTTTTTAATTGAACTTACAATATTTTCATCCTCGACATTACGCGCAAGTCCTATAAAAAATATTTTATTAAACGCTTCAAAGTTTTTTATACCAAAATCAAGAATCTTTAATCGGCATTGATAATTGACCACAATATTACTAGGTTTTATATCCTTTAACAAATTATAAAATAATTTATTTGAAAAAAACTTACTCTATGAACAATTGACGCTTTATGCAAATAATTTATTCCACAAAGCATCTTTAGAGGGGAAAAATTTAATAATAATCAAACAAAAAAATACCTGGTAAAGAAGAAACGAGAGACGTTCATGATCCAGGTCCATAGCAGTTACTTGACAAAGACTAGCATTCATAAGTTCCATAACCAAATATAAATCGTCAAACTCTTCCAACGAATTTTGTGGAGTAAAAGCATTAAGCAAGCGAATAATCTTAATTTTACAAAAGATAAAATAAACTTTAAAAGAAATAAACATTAGGATGATCCATCAGATTCATTATTTCAAATTCACGGTAAGCTAAGAATTAATAAATTGGTTTAAATAATAAATCCTAAATAACCTCGTTTTGCATGCGTTGGATTAGAAAAAGGCCGGGTCAGCTTCTTTATCGCCTTTAAATTTTGAGTTTACTAAATTTACTGTGAATAAAAAACTAACCACACGTTCATTGGTAACCACATCGAGAGCCGACCTAAAGAAATCAAAATACCAAAGAAAAATTAAATAACATACATGACAACTCCTTGTGCTCCCGAGCCAATTAGCTAAAGAGAATTTAAAAATAGAAATTTAACAAACTCTCACATAAAAGTCCGTGTAGCGTTTTAAAACTCGGATTATAGTTTTCTCGTTCAAAATAACGTCATGATAACCATCAGTATCATTAACTAGAAATGGACGACCACTGTTCTCTCGAATACTAAATTTTGAAAATGTTACAATCTACAATCACTCAAAGATTTGAAGAAATGGGCAAATCCCGTAAACTACTTTCAGTAAACTACTACTTGAAACGGTCTGCTGAATTAAACACTTCTATGCATTCTCTATTCAGTAAAGTACTAGAATTCACTGGTTAATTATCACAGACATTAAAGGTATGTTTCTACATTTACCCATCATTACTTGTTCAAGTGCAAAGTTGGTTAAATTAACAAAAATTAAATTTCAAAGAGTATTTCAACATTAAAACAAACTTTTGTGAATCCATTTTTCTGTATACGCTTTCCTCAGTCGGTTGGGTACAGGACAACAAGAGATTGGCACTTGTGGTGGATACTTCTTGGCAATCTGCCGAACAGACGTCTGCTTTACTTCCAAGCCACTATTTATATTCTAGTATACAAATTAGCCAAAAAAAATTAACCAACCTGCTGTACACTTCCGAAAAAAGTGTTAAAATGACACTTGACTGAAGATCCAAATGTAAAGAATTGACTGGAAAATGCTGGATTTGGAATTTTGAAGTTTTATTTTATTGTTTGTTTTAATGAATCATCATCCAAATTCTATCTGATTTGTGTATAAAACGTTAAGCAAATATATATTAATTATATAAATTTATTTGCATAATGGATAATAAAATAACAATATCAGCCTAGATGAATTCGATGGAAAACAAAACACTAAACAAACCAAACATTTACTGCCAGCCGATAAAATAACACGAATGCCCCGAGGCAAAGTGTAGGCAAAATTGTGATAAGCCAGTTCAAAGTCACATTTTAATAGAGGGTTGTTATGGTGCAACAATTGAATTTTTACTGAATAAATAGGGTGGACGTTGTGGGCCGGTACACCTCAATTGAGTCCGCACGATTGAGTCCCCACGATTGAGTCCGCACGATTGAGTCCCCACGATTGAGTCCCGGCACAATTGAGTCCCGGCACGATTGAGTCCGCACGATTGAGTCCCCCTTGTATATACCTCAATTGAGTCCCCGTGGATTTAATTATATTAAAAAGGATTAAGAGGGATATCGGGGGATTTTTAGAGATTAAAGTGAACATCAGGGGACTTGTATTCGACATCGAGGGATCAAGTTGGATATCGGTGGATATGGAGGGATATAAGTAGATTTAAGCGATTAAGGGGGATATCGGTGGATTTGGGGATTAGGAGGGATATCGAGAGATTTTTTGAATGACAGCTCATTCGAATGAGCTGAGTCGAATGACACCAAAATCAACATGGTTCTCGCCGAGATATGGGGCTCGAAATGGTCAAATCCACGGGGGAATTTTTGGGGACAAAAAATTCGAATATTAAATTATACCTCATTCGAAAGGGCTCGACGAGCTGAGTCGAATGACATCAAAATCAGCTTGATTCAATAATTCTGAACAAAGTTATGACCAACTGAATCTGCGCTGGAAAACTGTTTTGTGCTGCTAAGAAGGGTATGTGGGGTTCAGCAGGGGTGCTCAGGTGGTCTGCCCGGCATTTATACTTTAAAAAATAGAAATTGAAATAATCCCGCATGCCGGATATGGAAATTTTAAACTTATTAAATCCACGGGGACTCAATTGAGGTATATACAAGGGGGACTCAATCGTGCGGACTCAATCGTGGGGACTCAATTGTGCCGGGACTCAATCGTGGGGACTCAATCGTGCGGACTCAATCGTGGGGACTCAATCGTGCGGACTCAGTTGAACTGCTCCGGTTGTGGGCGGATAATCGAGAATTCGAGGTGGACTAAATATGTACTTAAAATACATGGTATAAAAGTAAACCTTCTCTCCAACATACTAACTTTCAATACAACTTCCATCTGGTCGGGGACTCATCGCTTCGTTGAGATAAGGCGGAATGTACGTGTGTTCTGTTCGTACAGGAACACCACTTGGGAAGTTCGAGGCACCGGTGCCAATACCGCTTTGCAAGAAGATTAAGGTCAGTATTCTTTTAGTCAGTTGATAATCTACTTTTTGTTGAATTTCAGCCGATAAAGTTGCCACTACCGTCCAAAGTGCTTCAACACTATCCAAACTCTAAAGAGGAAACATTCATGGTTGGCTTCCAGAAACCTTCATGTTGTTGTTGCTTTAATCGAAAGCAGAAACCGCAGTTCATGCGAACAATCTTCGTTTCTACTGTAAATGACAAGTTGCTGTTGATCTACGATAAGGAAAAGAATAACGGAAAGAAGAAAAAGAAGAAGAGCGGTGCTTCGACAAAAAGAGAAGGTTATAGCTTCCAGTTAAGCTCTGCTGTAAGTATGATGATAAAGAAAAATGCACTCATCTCTAAAGTGTCTAAATATACAAATCAGGTAATTTTCTTACACACTTTTTATCTTTAAGTATTTCTCATTTAAGGATGAACATCATTGTATTCTGGAAATCAGCTTCAAATTTGGTACATGCTTTATCGGAATGGATGGAGAAAAGATTATTTGTAAGCTTTCCAAAATTTTTTATTCAAAAAGAATTTTATAATTAAATTTAGCCGAATGGTGCCCGGTGATTTTGTGCGCTTTTGATCCGCTTTTAATTCCTCCTACTCCTGCTTCTTGTGATGTCTTGATTTCTGGCACTAATATTACGACAAAGAAAAATACTTCGAAGGCTGCATTGGATGCAAATAACAAACAAAAGGAGAAAGCAGCACCTCTTAGTGCCGAAATTGTTGATAGGTGTGTTAAAATTTTCCTTAAATTAATGTTACTTATAAACTAACAATTTTAAGCTCATTACCACCTCCGCCTGTTGAAGAGCATCATGAAGATGTCAGTCAGGATGTTACCCGAAAATCGGCGTGTTCAAATATCTCACAAAAGCAGAAGAAGAAGCGGGCCAAGAAGAAGGCGAAAAATAAGAAAAAGAAAAACGATGAACCAAAAAAGAAGGAAAACTCTGAAATAGCTGTCGTAAACGATGTTGTAGCTGCCAATGAAGACAGTTTTGCCGATGTTGTTGATAGGGAAAAGAAGGACAAGAAGGAAAACGATTTGAGTGGAGACCTTTCGAAAAAGTAAGTGATATCTAAATTATTTTATTCCTCTGATTATAACAACATTTTAACAGCATCAGCAAGAACAACGAACAAAAACAACAAAAAGGAGATCGAATGGAACGTTGGTTCTCCAATAATAGTGAAGATACTTCTAAACTCTCAGTCGATGACAAAGAAGCTGCCTCCGGGCCTATGCCGACGGAGAGTCCTAAAAAGCTATCTGACACCTCATTGACAGAAATTGGTCCTCCACTTGCAACTTCCTCTCTCGGTAATAAATTTTTTGAGAACCTTTGTGTAGATATAAACCTATCATTTTTAATTTTAGCTGATGTAAATTCGACCAACAATGACAACTTAAATTCTCATCAACATGAAGAATTTATTTTCTCCCGAATAACCAGTCACAACAATAATGAGGAACCTTCAATGTCGATCCAGCGTCAACAACCAGCAACAAAAGCCCAACAATACCTTCAAAAACAGCAAAAAAATCGTTTTTGCAATTATACCAGCAACAATTCCTCTTATATTCCAATGAATGAAAATAAAGAGGAAGGCTCATATTCTATAACTTCTTGCATTTCTACATCAGAACAACGTACATCCCCTGAACAAGATTGTGGTTATCAGTTCACGTGGGTGCCAAAACATTTGAGTGAAGAGGAAATTATGATTGTTAAAGAAGAAATAGAAAAGAAGACCCAACAATTAGCATCCAGACAATTTGTTGGCGAGCCATCAAGTGATAAAATATTCTTTTTATTTTAATTAAAATGAGAAATTTTTAGATATCCAACATGTTTCTAAAACTACATATCACTGCAGCAAGCCATCATTTGTTGTTGAAGCTCCAAAAGAAGCGTCTAAGCAATGGCGTCCGGATGCCCTCATTGAACATCAAAGTAGAAATAAATCTGTACCGACAACACAAGAAGTGAAGAAGGATGCACCGCCACAATCTTTTTCTCATTTGGATGATACTCTACAACGTCCATTTCCATTGCAAAAAGCTAAAAAAGTTACGACAATTTCTCCAAATGGGGGTGGCGTAAACAAGACGCCCAAACAGGTTCGATGGCTGTCACCACGCCGTGAATTCAACGACATTCCTCGCCCATATCAAGTGGCCCCAATTCGACAGACGTAAGTGATTGACATTTTTCTTCAAAATTAACATTTATTTAATTCAGCAGCTCTTCTCTTGGTTATATTGTTCGCCGATATGGTTTTAATGACGACATTATTGGTAGTGGTTGCGTCTACGATGGGGGCGACAATTCTACAAAATTACAACATTTTGGTCCACTTGGAAGTGAGGTGGCAGTACGCGAACATGGACGGGAAAAGAGTGATCACAACCATCATTTGGTAAATGTACGCAAATTGTTCGAGCAAAGGATTACTGCATATCTTGATAAGAACAGTAGTGAAGCAATTGATGGCAACAATTTGGCTGCAATGGGCCCTGTGAAGGATACTTTAGAACCTACAGCAAAATCTTTTGACTTGAACAACAAAAAAAGCAAAATGGAAACGAACGACTGTAAACAACCAAATGAGACGGAAATGAAGAATAACAATGTAACGAGTTTTTTCTAATTTTTAAATTAAAAAGTTCTTTTTAGAATCAAAAGTGTTGGCCACCTCAACAGAAAAGTAGTATTCCAGAGAAGCATCCAGTAAGATCGCCGCCTCCACCTCCTCCTCCACTTCTCTTCCGTACACACATTCCAACTACGCGAGGTCAAAAACAAAATAATGAGAACAAGAATACCTAATCAACAAACATAAAACTTACACATAATTCCTTTCAAGCATTTGCTTGTATTTTTTGCCCATGTTATTTGTTTTAATGATTCTAATATGTTGTTGTTAATTGCACCGTATAATATATACTTGTTTTTGTTGAGGAATATTTCCTATATTTGTACAAAACCTTTTACTCATTATTTATGTATGTATTTTGTATTGTATGTATATAAATATGTATGTAGTAGATAATTAAAATTTAATTTAAAAAGATTTTTTAAACCTTTGTGTAAAATTATTTATAATTTTTTTAAAATTTACTTTCAAATAATCGAAATAATTTTTAGTTAGTTTATTTTTTTGAATGAAAGTTTTAATGAAACATAATGAACTAAACGATAAAGAATTTTCAAAATATTTTTCTCGAATTAAAGAAGAAAATTGGGAGAGATCTTTGCTTTTAACTTTAGAAGAAGAATTTTATAAGGTTTAAATTATAATTATTTTTTGTCTAAATCATTAGCCTTTTTAGCTTTCCAAATCACTAACTTTGCGTCAAATTCGATCTATCCAACTCGTATTTCTTAACAAAATTAATCCTCTCTTATTTTGTCAAATTACTGACAATGAATTTAAAAGGATTTTTAGTGGAATATTTTTAAATACAAAATTTTATTTAAATTCAATTTCAACAATTATACAATTTATTGGATATAAAAATGATAATTTTTGTTTTTCTAAAGTTATTTGTATTTTTGAATCAATTCAATTGGAATTATTTCAACGATTATTACTTTTGGAAAATGAAGGTTTTGATTAAATAATATTTTTATGGTACTTGTGAGTTATCCTAAACCAGTTTTTGCGGACATTTTTGTACGGAATGGTTCGTCTTCCTTTTAATTTTCTTCATTGAAGTCATTGGCATGTGGCATGCAGGACAATTACTAAATATTTTCTTCTTTTTTAAGTTCAACATTTTTATTTCTTCAACAATTTCGTTATTCTTCTCAACTTCAAAATGTCAATTTTTTAATTTTAAATAATTTAATATTTTGTTATTTATCATTATTTGAATTATTGGAGATATCTTTATTAAAAGAACAATTCTCTAATGAATTAATTGATATATTTGAATGGATTGGAATTTTTAAAGAAAAGGAGGAAATAAAAGAACAATTAGAAATAAATGAATCTTTAAATGAATTAATTAATTTATTTTTGTTTAAATTAAATGAAATATTATTTTAACATTAAATGGGTTTGAACCAGAGCAGACACCAGGTAATAAATGGAATGAATGGCATAATTTCTCTCGACCTCCTAAATTCTTTCATATATTCATTTCATGAATTTTCATCTTCACTCATTTCATTAGGTACTGGATTGCTTTGAACGCCAAAAATGTCATGAGTACTCTCATAATCTTTGATCTATAAAAAGTTTCAAGTTTTAAATATTAAAAAATATATGTAACCTGCTTGAAAAGCAACTCTCTCCATTGTTCCAGGGAAAGATCCGGTGAACTTAATATTTATATAACAAAAGGTAAAACTAAAAAGACATACTGGTCAGGATCAATATATGGAGGTGGTGGCGGACCATCAACTTAATAAAATGATTAACTTTATTGTGATCAAATTAATAAACCTTCACTTTCATTTTCCTCATACCACTAAAAACAAAAGGAAATTAAAGTTAAAAAAAGTTGCAAACCATACTGACGTAAGGAAACTTCAAGGCATCGGATACAGTGATTCTTAATATTTTTATATAAAAATTAAATCTTATAAAAAATATATTAAACCTCTGCAAGGGATTTAAAACAAGCATCCTAGATATTAAATCGCGAGCATTTTCAGCTAAAAATATAAAAATTTTAAGGGAAAATGTCTTTCCTGTTTCTATACGCAAATTACTAACTAGATAGTATTATAATTATTGCAAAAACTTGTACAGATAATAGATCCGCGGAAATGTTTTTGTTGACAAAGATGAAGCTGGGGACGTCGAGCAACCCTTAGCTACCCACCATAGCCAAACAAAAATAATTTTGTTCAGAATTCGAGTCGGCTCGACGAACTCTTTCAAATATACTATAATTTGTACAAATTTTTCAAATGATTGTAATGCTATCTAATTAAAAATGTACACACAGAGAACAGGAATATATTGAAAATATATTTAAAAAATTTACCATTTAATCGGTCATCAATATTCGTTAGGAATATACTATCAGGAAATATTTCTTTCCAATCACGAGTTGCTAAAGAATTAAATTAAGCGAGATCAAAGTTTTAAATTTATTTAAAGGCAGCTGAGGATAACTTGAAAACTTTTAAGAGTAAAAAATAGCTACGGCCCTAATCAGGCCCGTAACCAGGATTTTTTACCGGGGGGGGGGCCAAGGGGGAGAAAATTTTTTTGCGCCAATTTTTTGGCGCCGAAGGCGCCAAAAATTGATTTTCAGCGCCGCAGGCGAAAATTTTTGAATTTTGGAGCTCAGAAAGCCAAATTTCTTCCATTTTTAGCGCCGCAGGCGAAAATTTTGAAAATTTCGGAGGCCGTAGGCCAAAAAATTCACTTTTTTTGCCCCTGCCCTTCCCCAAATTTTTCCCTTTTCCCCATTTCGGGGGGGGGGGGGGGGGGGGGAATTCCCCCCCCCCTGGCTACGGGCCTGGCCCTAATCCAGGATCAATTTAAACATAATGTAAACATTTACCGACATACGGAAGATTCAAAATATAATTTCGAACTTCTGGCTGAATATAATATTACAAATTACTAGCTGAAAATAAAATATGAATGACAACCGTTAAAAGTTTTGTAAAATCATTGTCAGGCGATCCTAGACCATCAACAATTTTTGTCCATTGGTCGATGTAGTTATTGCCAGGGAAAAATACCTTTTTTAAAATAAAAATTATTTTTAAATGAATCTCACTTTTCTAGTTAACAATTCAGCAAAAATACATCCAATAGCCCATACATCAACTTTAAATAAAAGTTATACCAATTTATATCAAAAATTCTCTGACCGTTTTCCTTATAAGGTATTCCTAAATAATAAACTTTATTAAAGGTTTTTAATATAATTTAACCTAAAATAACTTCTGGTGCTCTATAATAACGCGTAACAACCTAAATATTCAGCATTTTAAATAAAGTACCATAAAACTAACATATGGAGTTTTGAGCTGAAAAATATATAAAAATATAAATTCTGCTTCAATTATTTTTTAATTGAACTTACAATATTTTCATCCTCGACATTACGCGCAAGTCCTGTAAAAATATTTTATTAAACGCTTCAGTTTTTTATACCAAAATCAAGAATCTTTAATTGGCATTGATAATTGACCACAATATTACTAGGTTTTATATCCTTTAACAAATCATAAAATAATTTATTCAAAAAAAATAAAAACTTACTCTATGAACAATTGACGCTTTATGCAAATAATTTATTCCACAAAGCATCTTTAAAGGGGAAAAATTTAATAATAATCAAACAAAAAATACCTGATAAAGAAGAAACGAGAGACGTTTGTGATCAAGGTCCATAGCAGTTACTTGACAAAGACTAGCATTCATAAGTTCCATAACCAAATATAAATCGTCAAACTCTTCCAACGAATTCTGTGGAGTAAAAGCATTTAGCAAGCGAATAATCTTAATTTTACGAAAGATAAAATAAACTTTAAAAATAAACATTAGGATGATCCATCAGATTCATTATTTCAAATTCGCGGTAAGCTAAGAATTAATAAATTGGTTTAAATAATAAATCCTAAATAACCTCGTTTTGCATGCGTTGGATTAGAAAAAGGCCGGGTCAGCTTCTTTATCGCCTTTAAATTTTGAGTTTACTAAATTTACTGTGAATAAAAAACCAACCACACGTTCATTGGTAACCACATCGAGAGCCGACCTAAAGAAATCGAAATACCAAAGAAAAACTAAATAACATACATTACAACTCCTTGTGCTCCTAAGCCGATTATCTAAAGAGAATTTAAAAATAAAAATATAACAAAATCTCACATAAAAGTCCGTGTAGCGTTTTAAAACTCGAATTATAGTTTTCTCATTCAAAATAACATCATGATAACCATCAGTATCATTAACTAGAAATGGACGACCACTGTTCTCTCGAATACTAAATTTTGAAAATGTTACAAATGGGGCTTCACTCAAAAATCTGAAGAAATGGGCAAATCTCGTAAACGCCTTTCAGTAATCTACTACTTGGAATGATCGTCAAATTAAACAGTTATGTATTCTCTATTCAGTAAATAGACAATAAATAAAGGTAAATTTCTACATTTCCCCATTACTTGTTCAAGTGCAAAGTTGGTTAAACTAACAAAAATTAAGCTTCAAATTGTATTTTAACCCAGGGCTCTCATTCGTGCTTTATTTGAAAGTATTATACTTTGAAACCGACCTCCATACTTAAGAAATTGAATTTATACTTTATTGAAAGTATATACTTTAAAATCAACATTTTGGATTGAAAATGAAATTGGGGAAGGGATTGGGCAAAAAAGTGAATTTTTTTAGCCTTGGGCCTTCGAAATTATCAAAATTTTCGCCTGCGGCGCTGAAAAAGAAAGAAATCTGGCTTCTTGGGCTCCAAATTTCAAAAAATTTTCGCCTGCGGCGCTGAAAATGGGAGAAATCTGACTACTTGGGCTCCAAATTTCAAAAAATTTTCGCCTGCGGCGCTGAAAATGGACGAAAGCTTGAGGTTAAGACTGTCAGGGCTTTATTTCTTGTATCAGCGAATTTTGACATGTCATGCGTTGAAATGCACAAAATGCCCAATGGAAGCAAGAAATTATTAGAAAAGATTCATTTAAGAGAGAAATATAAAAGATTTGAGCACGAACAAATATTTTCCAATTTAATTTTGAGTATACTTTAAATTTGGAAATTTTCTCCCTATATACTTTTTTATCAAGATTTTGATACTTTTGAGTGGCATTTTGTCGATGAGAGCCCTGTTTTAACCCTAAAACAAACTTTTGTAAATCCATTTTTCTGTATACGTTTTCCTCAGTAGGATGGGCACAGGACAACAAGAGATTGGCACTTGTGGTGGATACTTCTTGGCAATCTGCCGAAGACGTCTGCTTTACTTCAAAGCCACTATTTATATTCTAGTATAGAAATTCGCCAAAGAAATTAACAAACCTGTTGTACACTTCCGAAAAAAGTGTTAAAATGACACTTGACTGAAGACCCAAATGTAAAGAATTGACTGGAAAATGCTGGATTTGGAATTTTGAAGTTTTATTTTATTGTTTGTTTTAATGAATCATCATCCAAATTCTATCTGATTTGTGTATAAAACGTTAAGCAAATATTAATTATATAAATTTATTTGCATAACGGATAATAAAATAACAGTATCAGCCTAGATGAATTCGATGGAAAACAAAACACTAAACAAACCAAACATTTACTGCCAGCCGATAAAATGACACGAATGCCCCAAGGCAAAGTGTAGGCAAAATTAGTGATAAGCCAGTTCAAAGTCACATTTAAAATAGGGTTGTTATGGTGCAACAATTAAATTTTTTACTGAATAGGGTGGACGTTGTGGGCGGATAATCGAGAATTCGAGGTGGACTAAATATGTACTTAAAATAAATGGTATAAAAGCAAATCTTCTCTCCAACATCCTAGCTTTCAATACAACTTCCATCTGGTCGAGGACTCATCGCTTCGTTGAGATAAGGCGGAATGTACGTGTGTTCTGTTCGTACAGGAACACCACTTGGGAAGTTCGAGGCGCCGATGTCAATACCGCTTTGCAAGAAGATTAAGGTCAGTATTCTTTTAGTCAGTTGATAATCTACTTTTTTTTGAATTTCAGCCGATAAAGTTGCCGCTTCCGTCCAAAGTGCTTCAACATTATCCAAACTCTAAAGAGGAAACATTCATGGTTGGCTTCCAGAAACCTTCATGTTGTTGTTGCTTTAATCGAAAGCAGAAACCGCAGTTCATGCGAACAATCTTCGTTTCTACTGTAAATGACAAGTTGCTGTTGATCTACGATAAGGAAAAGAATAAAGGAAAGAAGAAGAAGAAGAGCGGTGCTTCGACAAAAAGAGAAGGTTATAGCTTTCTGTTAAGCTCTGCTACAAGTTTGAAGATAAAGAAAAATGCACTCATCTCTAAAGTGTCTAAATATACAAATCAGGTAATTTTCTTTTACACCTTTTACCAATACGTATTTCTCATTTAAGGATGAACATCATTGTATTCTGGAAATTAGCTTCAAATTTGGTACACTGCGTTCCAAAAGTATATGCACCCCTAGTTTTTTGGTTTTTTATACATTTTTCTTTGTTATTTTGATTAGATTTTTTGTCTATTTATTCTTCTAGATAAATGTGTATGTTTAAACTAAAAAATAAAAATATCCCATATCAGTTCATTTTTTTATCACCAATTATTCAATTATTCACTGTTCCAAAAGTATATGCACCCCCCTCAAAAAATTTTATTTAGCAATCAAAAAATCCAAAAAAATTTCTCTAAAGATATCTATCAATATAGATAAGAAATACAAAAGAAACGAAGTTCTAATATACTTCCTTCATCGAGATCTTGAAACCAGAAAATCAACGGAAAACAGGGGGTAGACGTCTTTAAAAAATATTTTCGACCTTTTATAGGCGAAATAAAAATATTATTTTGGGCTCATCTGAAAGCCCTTTAAATTTGCTACAAGATAGCATTAATTTTATTTTTCTAAAAAAATTCAACTGTAAGACCTAATGTGATAAACTTTCAGGTCATAAAAATCACTTAAACGCCCCCAAAAAGTGATGAAAATGTAACTTAAAAACTAAACTCATTATTTCTCAAAGATTAATTTTTTCTGGATTATGAGATGAAAACTTTCTTGTAGCAAATTTCAAGGGCTTTCAAATAAGCCTAAAATAAAATTTTTATTTAACCTGTGAGGGGTCGAAAATATTTTTTAAAGACGTCTACCCCCTGTTTTCCGTTGATTTTCTGGTTTCAAGATCTCGATGAAGGAAGTATATTAGAACTTCGTTTCTTTTGTATTTCTTATCTATATTGATAGATATCTTTAGAGAAATTTTTTTGGATTTTTTGATTGCTAAATAAAATTTTTTGAGGGGGGTGCATATACTTTTGGAACAGTGAATAATTGAATAATTGGTGATAAAAAAATGAACTGATATGGGATATTTTTATTTTTTAGTTTAAACATACACATTTATCTAGAAGAATAAATAGACAAAAAATCTAATCAAAATAACAAAGAAAAATGTATAAAAAACCAAAAAACTAGGGGTGCATATACTTTTGGAACGCAGTGTATGTGTTTTATTGGAATGGATGGAGAAAAGATTATTTGTAAGTTTTCCAAAATTTTTATTCAAAAGGAATTTTATAATTAAATTTAGCTGAATGGTGCCCGGTGATTTTGTGCGCTTTTGATCCGCTTTTAATTCCTCCTACTCCTGCTTGTGATGTCTTGATTTCTGGCACTAATATTACGACAAAGAAAAATACTTCGAATGCTGCATTGGATGCAAATAACAAACAAAAGGAGAAAGCAGCACCTCTTAGTGCCGAAATTGTTGATAGGTGTGTTAAAATTTTCTTAAAATTAATGTTACTTGTAAACTAAAAATTTTAAGCTCATTACCACCTCCGCCTGTTGAAGAGCATCATGAAGATGTCAGTCAGGATGTTACCCGAAAATCGGCGTGTTCAAATATCTCACAAAAGCAGAAGAAGAAGCGGGCCAAGAAGAAGGCGAAAAATAAGAAAAAGAAAAACGATGAACCAAAAAAGAAGGAAAACTCTGAAATTGCTGTCGTTAACGATGTTGTAGCTGCCAATGAAGACAGTTTTGCCGATGTTGTTGATAGGGAAAAGAAGGACAAGAAGGAAAACGATTTGAGTGGAGACCTTTCGAAAAAGTAAGTGATATCTAAATTATTTTATTCCTCTGATTATAACAACATTTTAACAGCATCAGCAAGAACAACGAACAAAAACAACAAAAAGGAGATCGAATGGAACGTTGGTTCTCCAATAATAGTGAAGATACTTCTAAACTCTCAGTCGATGACAAAGAAGCTGCCTCCGGGCCTATGCCGACGGAGAGTCCTAAAAAGCTATCTGACACCTCATTGACAGAAATTGGTCCTCCACTTGCAACTTCCTCTCTCGGTAATAAATTTTTTGAGAACCTTTGTGTAGATCTAAACCTATCATTTTTAATTTTAGCTGATGTAAATTCGACCAACAATGACAACTTTAATTCTCATCAACATGAAGAATTTATTTTCTCCCGAATAACCAGTCACAACAATAATGAAGAACCTTCAATGTCGATCCAGCGTCAACAACCAGCAACAAAAGCCCAACAATACCTTCTAAAACAGCAAAAAAATCGTTTCGACAATTATACCAGCAACAATTCCTCTTATATTCCAATGAATGAAAATAAAGAGGAAGGCTCATATTCTATAACTTCTTGCATTTCTACATCAGAACAACGTACATCCCCTGAACCGGATTGTGGTTATCAGTTCACGTGGGTGCCAAAACATTTGAGTGAAGAGGAAATTATGATTGTTAAAGAAGAAATAGAAAAGAAGACCCAACAATTAGCATCCAGACAATTTATTGGCGAGCCATCAAGTGATAAAAGATTCTTTTTATTTTAATTAAAGTGAGAAATTTTTAGATATCCAGCATGTTTCTAAAACTACATATCACTGCAGCAAGCCATCATTTGTTGTTGAAGCTCCAAAAGAAGCGTCTAAGCAATGGCGTCCGGATGCCCTCATTGAACATCAGAGTAGAAATAAATCTGTACCGACAACACAAGAAGTGAAGAAGGATGCACCACCACAATCTTGTTCTCATTTGGATGATACTCTACAACGTCCATTTCCATTGCAAAAAGCTAAAAAAGTTACGACAATTTCTCCAAATGGGGGTGGCGTAAACAAGACGCCCAAACAGGTTCGATGGCTGTCACCACGCCGTGAATTCAACGACATTCCTCGCCCATATCAAGTGGCCCCAATTCGACAGACGTAAGTGATTGACATTTTTCTTCAAAATTAACATTTATTTAATTCAGCAGCTCTTCTCTTGGTTATATTGTTCGCCGATATGGTTTTAATGACGACATTATTGGTAGTGGTTGCGTCTACGATGGGGGCGACAATTCTACAAAATTACAACATTTTGGTCCACTTGGAAGTGAGGTGGCAATACGCGAACATGGACGGGAAAAGAGTGATCACAACCATCATTTGGTAAATGTACGCAAATTGTTCGAGCAAAGGATTACTGCATATCTTGATAAGAACAGTAGTGAAGCAATTGATGGCAACAATTTGGCTGCAATGGGCCCTGTGAAGGATACTTTAGAACCTACAGCAGCATCTTTTGACTTGAACAACAAAAAAAGCAAAATGGAAACGAACGACTGTAAACAACCAAATGAGACGGTAATGAAGAATAACAATGTAACGAGTTTTTTTTTATTTTTAAATTAAAAAATTCTCTTTTTAGAATCAAAAGTGTTGGCCACCTCAACAGAAAAGTAGTATTCCAGAGAAGCATCCAGTAAGATCGCCGCCTCCACCTCCTCCTCCATTTCTCTTCCGTACATACATTCCAACTACGCGAGGTCAAAAACAAAATAATGAGAACAAGAATACCTAATCAACAAACATAAAACTTACACATAATTCTTTTCAAGCATTTGCTTGTATTTTTTGCCCATGTCATTTGTTTTAATGATTCTAATATGTTGGTGTTAATTGCACCATATAATATACATATACTTGTTTTTGTTGAGGAATATTTCCTATATTTGTGCAAAACATTTTACTCAAATTATTGTATATTTTGTATTGTAATAAATAAATATGTAGTAGTAGTTAATTAATTAAAAGTTTGTTTAATTAAGTTAAAAAGGTTTTTTAACCTTTGTTTAAATAAAATGATAATTTTTTAAATTTATTTTTAAATAATCGAAATAATTTTTAGTTAATTTATTTTTTTGAATGAAAGTTTTAATGAATCAAACTGATTGTGAACTTAATGATAAAGAATTTTCAAAATATTTTTCTCGAATTAAAGAAGAAAATTGGGAGAGATCTTTGCTTTTAACTTTAGAAGAAGAATTTTATAAGGTTTAAATTATAATTATTTTTTGTCTAAATCATTAGCCTTTTTAGCTTTCCAAATCACTAACTTTGCGTCAAATTCGATCTATCCAACTCGTATTTCTTAACAAAATTAATCCTCTCTTATTTTGTCAAATTACTGACAATGAATTTAAAAGGATTTTTTGTGGAATATTTTTAAATACAAAATTTTATTTAAATTCAATTTCAACAATTATTCAATTTATTGGATATAAAAATGATAATTTTTGTTTTTCTAAAGTTATTTGTATTTTTGAGTCAATTCAATCTGAATTATTTCAACGATTATTAATTTTGGAAAATGAAGGTTTTTAATTTAAATATTTTTTTAATTAAATTTTCTAACAGAACAGATTTAAATGAGGATATTCTTTCAATCGACCAATTTACATTTATTTTGAGTAGTTATCCAGACAGAATTTATAATTTTGTTGGTCGAACTGGTGGTGAATTTGTCTCGTTAACAATTTGTACATTTGAGAATAATTTATTAGAAGCTCTTATTAAAGTATTATTAAATGGAAATTTTAATGTTGAGATTTTTGCTAAAATTATTTTTAATTATTATATTGAGGTTTTTTTAATTTTTTTAAATTAAAATATATTTTTTTAAAGTTCTTCGACCGGTTTTTATCTAAAATCATTTTTGAAGAGGATTCCTATCATTCATTACAACGTATTTTTACTTTTGATAAAATTGAGAAAAGAAAACGTGATGCAATCCTTATTAGATTAATTCAATTTATTCCAGATGGAAAAACTTTGGAGGTAAAGAATATTTTTTAAATTACTTTGAATAAAATTTTAAAGAGAATATTAAACCATTTTTGTGGATACCACTTTCTTGACCCGGATATCCGCAAAAATTAGTCCGCAAAAAATAAAATGCCTTAAAATAATTTTCTTTTTATCTTTTTTCAGAAACTTTTTGGAAATTCTCCTCTGTCTGACCAACTTCTCCATAAATGTCTTCTTGAAAAATCTATTTTTATAAATTCAAATTCTTCAATTAGAAATTCATTAAAATCTGCAGAATTTTTTTCTTTGCTCGGACAAAATAATTTAATTAAAGCATTTAATCAATTAATTAACCAATTTTGTGCACAAAGTCAAATTCTTTCAATTATTTCTCTTCAAAATCAATTTAATCTTTCATTAGCTGTTATTGACTTTGCGAGACAAATAAAGTTTTGTTTAAATATTTTTTAAAATATTTTTTTAAATTTTTAGTAAAGAAATGCGTCTTTCAATTAGAGATGATTTGACAAATTCTTTAATTAATGTATTTCCACGTCTTTTAGAACAATCTGGTTAAATTTTTATTTTTTTCAAATAAAATTATTTTTTTTTAAAGAAATTTCTCGTCGTCAAATAGGAATGTTTACTGCAGAAACAATTTTTAATCTTTTCGAACATCCTTCGCCTTTGAAATTTGATTATATTCAAACAGATCCAGTTCTTTGCGATTTTATTAATGCGTTGAAAGGAAAAGAAATTGAAAAAATGGAAGAGGGAGATAAAGAATTAGGTTTAAAATTATTTAAAAAAATTTTGACATGATAGAGAGGAAATACTCTCATATTTGACAATCCTATATATATTTTCTGACCTCTCTTAACTGTCTAAAAATATTTTAAATTAAAAATAATAAAAAGTTATTTTTTCAGAAAAACCACAATTTTCTTCATTTCAACAAAAAAAGCATGTAATTGATCCAAGAGTTTCAATTCTTGATAGTGATGATGATGAAGAAGAAGAAAATATTCTTAATTGTATGAGAAATATTAAAATAAATGAAGAAAGACAATTCTCATCTTTTCCTTATATTCAAGATTGTTTAGTTACATTAAAAGACGAAAAAACAGAATTTAAGCATTGGGAAGAAGCTTTACTTTCAATTGGGCCATTAATTAAGAAAAAATCGATTGGATTAAATATTTTGGGAATTGAAATTTTGGAAACTTTAATTTTTCTTGAAGAACGGTTTAAAATTGATAATTTTAGAGTAATTTTTTATTTTTTTAATAATAAAAAAATTAATTTTTAGAATATAAAAATCGAAATAATTTCATTTTTATTGGCTGATAATCCACAATTAATTAGCCATTTTAATCGTCTATTTTGTTCAAAAAGATGCTCACAATCACACAAATTTTTAATAATTTCTTCAATTGTAAATGCTGCAAAATTGTTATATTATGGAGATGAAAATGGGGAAAATATTAAAAAAGAAAATGAAAAGGAGGTAAAAAAGAAAGGGGAAAGGGAATTTTTTTAAATTTTAATTTGAAGGAAAAAGAAGAAGAAAATAAACAAATTGGAAAAATTATTTGGAGATCAACAAATTTAAAACAAAATTCCAAACAACAAATAATTAAAACATCTAAATTTGCACCTGTTGCCTCCCAATTTATTTTTTCTTTATTAGATTTATGTCAAAAATATAGTTTAAATGTTTGTAATTATTTTAAAGAAAAAATTATTTTTTAAAAAATATTTTAGGAAAAAGATTTTAATATTTTGGCTAATTTAATTGGGGCTCTTGGTGAAGTAATTAATATTTGTAAATTCTCTCCTTCAATTGTTCGAATTGCTAGGTAATTTCTTTTAAATTCAATTACTAAATATTTTCTTCTTTTTTAAGTTCAACATTTTTATTTCTTCAACAATTTCGTTATTTTTCTCAACTTCAAAATGTCAATTTTTTAATTTTAAATAATTTAATATTTTGTTATTTATCATTATTTGAATTATTGGAGATATCTTTATTAAAAGAACAATTCTCTAATGAATTAATTGATATATTTGAATGGATTGGAATTTTTAAAGAAAAGGAAGAAATAAAAGAACAATTAGAAATAAATGAATCTTTAAATGAATTAATTAATTTATTTTTGTTTAAATTAAATGAAATATTATTTTAAAATTTGTTTATTTTTCTATCGAAATATTTTGATGTTTTACAATCTATAGTGATCGGAATTTCATAAAGTTTAAAATAAAAAAATAAAATTAAAGGAACTCGGTATGGACTAAAATAGAGTTCGGTATAGATGAGATCCCCGTTCCGAAATCCTGGGTTTTCAGAGACAAACGGGATCTCGCTTCATAAAACATTGAAAAAATAGGTTACAGAATATATTTACAAAAGTAAATCATCAATAAATTCATCAAATTCCTCATCAGCAGTTTTCTCAGCTTCTAAGACAGCAGTTTTGCTACTCCAGATTTCAGAAGCAGATTGTACTGAGGCCTAAAAATGAAAAATAAATTATAGCGAAACGGTCATTTCCGTTGATCTTTTTGAATATTTTTTTCTTTTCTCTTTTTCCCTTAGGTTATGAAATATCCCTAAAAAAGGCAACAATGCTAAAAAGGATTTTTGAAGAAATGGAGGCAAAAAGAGCTCTCGTAGCTTTCGATCCAAAGCGAATTTATAAAACCCTTGAAAACAAATTTTTTAAAATTAAATTCTCTACTTTATTCGCTGCCTCCTCGTCAATTTTTCTCTTTTCTTCTTCAGATAATTTTTGTTCTTGAATATTTTTATCCTCTTCATCAACACTCTCTTCGCCTTCATCAAAAGTATCATCTGAAGAAGAAGACGAACTTGCCGTTTTACTCAAATATTTTTTAATCTTCTTGTTTTTCCTTTCCCTTCTTTTTCTCCTTTTTTCTTCCTTTTCCTCTTCCTTTTCTGATTTTATTTTTGATTTTATCAAAGCTTTCTCTTTTTTAATTAATCTTTTTTGACTGTGAAAGTTTAATTTTGCCGAGCATTCAGGACATAAACGAACTTTTACGAGCGCATTCTTTCTAACACCGTGTTCGGTATATGCAAAGTTTACCTGAAATATTTTTGTTAGGTATACTCGATGTTGGGAAATATGAGAAAAGACTGGTCGGCCTTAAAGGTATTTCAAAGTGCCCCGATTATATCCTCGCTTTATCTAACACAATAATCTAAAATCAAACAGAGAAAGAAGAAGAGGAGGGCGAAATACACGTTAGTCAGAAGAAAAGAAATACTTTAAAATTTTACGGATTTAGGATGATATAACTATGACCAATAGAAATCTGGATTAAAATTTAGTAATTCCCCACCTCCCAACTAGACAATGCCTCCTTAGATTTACAATATTTATTTCCACATTCAAATTGCCCCTTCCCAGAAAATAATTCTTTTTCAGTTCTCCAACGCATTGCATAAACATTTTGTTTGTATTTAGTTAAATCAACAATACAATATTCTTTAAATAATTTGTCATAGTAGCGCTTAGCTAGTCGAGCCCCCCAATTCGCTTCTGCTTCAGTCATTTCCGTATCTGACCAAAGGAAGCGGTGATTCTCCTATAAATTAGAAGAGAAAATTAAATATAATTCGGGTACTTGTTAAGATTATATTTTCCTTTTGGATAAGGGATTAGGAGAATACCCCTTTTGGATAAGGGTTAGGAGGACCAAAGTCAATGACCATAATGAAGAAGCTGTGCATGTTCAGCAGAACGACAACCACTACTACTTAAAATAAATTTTTTCAGTGTCTCCTTACCCTAATTATATCAAAATCATTTTTATCATTGCTAGTATCTCTTTGCAATTTTGTTGTAGATCCTTTATAATATGTAACATAATTATTTATCATCATTTTATGCCGAGTATAAGCATCAACTGATTGTAAGCGTGTCTTTATTCTGTGAGAAAATTTGAATTTTGAAAATTTTTTATCATAATTTATCAAATACGGAGTGAGTCAACCTGAGCTAGTGAGGTGAAAAGACTTTAGATTCTCTTGGGAAATTTTTGGTCCTAACCATAAATTTTTGGGTTGATAAATACAGGGTGACATAAAAATGCTTTTTTGAACTTGATTTATGTCACCCTGTAACTTCACAATTGGGTTCTATAAAAAAATTTTCAGAGGGGTCAAAGTTCCAGCCATCCTCTCGACTTCATAATTCGCCCAAAAATTTTTTTAATAATTAAAATATTTTCCACCTCTGTTCAGGAGGTATTGCTCTGCTTTTAAATTGCCGTGTATTGTTTGAACTTGAAGGTTTATTATTTGGATTTTCCCTTTTCCTTTTAAGTTCAGGCATATAAGGGTTTGGCTCATCATAAACTCTTCTAATCATTTTTTTTCTAAAAATTTAAAAAAAATTTTATATAGAAGATTAAAATTACATAAGAGTAGCTGTCCAAACCGAGAGGAAAAGGAGGATGCCAAACCGGTCGGACCTGACTAGAAGATAAACTCTCATTTTAAGGTACACATTAGTATTCTTGGTGACCGATTAATTTTCGCCTCTAAAATTGAACTAACTTGGAGAGGGAGCTGACAACACCCTCTATTCAAAATAACCCCATTATAAGCTACATAAATAATTTTTCAAACTTAAGGGTGACCTTAAAGTAAGGGTCGTTTGTGTTTTTGAAGTCAAGAAATTTTCTTTGAACTGCTACTTTAAACGAAAAATTTTTAAAAGTATTTATAAATTGACTTCTTTTGAAGAACAAAAATTAATTAATTGTAAAAATGATTTTTTTTTTCATTTATATCAAATGAAAATTAATTTTTAAAAATAATTTAATTTTCAATAAAGGTTGCATCATTATTATTATTCTTCCATTGGGGTAACATTCTTTGAGCAATCCCCTTTATTAATTTCATCAATCCCCTCTTCTTCTTTCTCTTTATTTTCTGCTGACATTTCTTCTTCAATTATTTTTTCGTCTTTTGCTACAATTTCAGGCAATTGTATGTAATCACAAATAACTTCCAATTTTCTAGATTCTTCTTGGTCCTTTTCTAAATTTTTTGTTTGATCGTTTTCTTTCGTTAATTTAGCTATTGAGCAAGAAGAAAAGAGACTGAAAAATAAAGAATTAAATTTAAAAATTTTTTTGGTTAAAATTTTTGAATTTATGGCCTAAGATCAGTTAACAATCAAAAAAATTTATTGAAATTGTGGGGAAAATTTTTTTACATCAAATGGGGTATATAGGGGGCTTTGTTTAGTCTACACCGGCCAAAGAATTTTTTGAGAAATTTTTTTTAAATTACAAAAAGTTTGAATAAATTATTCCAATTCGAGAATTTAAAGAGAGATTAATAAAAAAAATTTTTTTGCAAAAAATTTTTTAACCTATTTTTAACAGCATGTACAATCATTCCATGTAAAACTTCACACCCCAATTTTTCTCCATCTTTAACAGCTTTTTGTAATTTTTCTCCAAACATTGAAGAATTTTTATTTCCAATTTGTTCTAATTTTGCAGCCAAATCATAAACTTGTGAAGTTATATAATGAGAATTGGTTATTAAACGATTGGAACAAAGTGTGTTTACCTGCAAATTTTTTTATAAAAAATATATAAATCGGATCAAAAAAGCCTGTTTTTTTTTGCTGTGAACAGTCTATTTTATTAATTCTCTAGTTAAAATCTATTTTTTTTCATTCAATTAATTTTTGAATTGAAAAAATAGATTTTTAATTAAAAAAACAGATTTTAACTACAAAATTTTAAAAATTTGTTTTCAATTTGATAGGGAAATTACAGGTTTTGTTTTGGAAAATTTTTAAAAATCATTCTTTAAAAAGTTCAAAAATTTCGGTATTAAAATCCATCAAAATCCCTTGTAATAAAAAACCAAATTAAATTAACGTGATAATTTAAAAACTAATCAAAAATTATAAATTTAAAAAATCTTTCCACAAACCCAATAAGTATTCCAAAGAGCATCAAATATTTTTGTATCAAGTGAGGATTTGAAATAAGTAATGTCCAATGAATAATACTAAAAAATATAATTTATTCAATGAAAATTTTAGATACAAAAACCTGTTTGCAATGTACACCAAAATCTTCAATTTTATTTAAAGGAATTGTTTGATATTCTGATTGAGGTTCGTCTGGGGGTTTATAACCTTAATTTGAAAAAAATTTAACTGGATGGTATTTTAATTTTAAAAATTTCTTAAAAGATATATTCGATTTTTAGAGTTTAATTTAATAAATCCAATTAAAAATTTGTTAAAAATTGGAAAAAAATTATAAAACCTTTTGGATAAGTTCTAAAAGCGCCAATGTCAACTTTCCCTGCACTAATCGTCCGAATTGGGTCAATCTAAAAATTAAAATTTTTAAAAAAATTTTATAAAAAATACCACAATAGCAACAAAAGGTTCTTGAAATTGTTGATTAAGTGCTTGCGTGCTAACATCGATTCCGCTCAACCAACAGCCATAACCTGGATGGGAATGGTACCAACCGACAACCTAGAAAAAAAAATAATTTTTTATGATATTAAACAGTCTAGTGGAACCGTTGAAATTTTGAAACTGCGAGAAATTCAAATTGTTGAATGAAAATGGATCCCAAAAGTCTACAACTCTAAATTAAACTGAAACTAAAACCTTTTCAAGACGTCCAACAGCTTCACAACCTTCACTATAATTTGTCATAAATTCGTAGGCTTGAGCTTGTGCATTTACACGCGTTTCAGTTCCTTCTACAGGAAGTGCAAAACTGTCAATAACAATTAAGGTATTTGCATCTACACGTCCTTGCATTAAACCCATAACTTCAATATTTCCACCACTGCGTGCATGCATAACCATTTTAAGAAGAGCAATAGAAGAAACTTTAACTTCCTAGAAAAGTAGGAAATGAAAATTATTTTCGAGATTTTTTCGCTAAATATGAATAGAGGCGATGGTGAGGGTCAGTCGAAAGTCAATTTCAACCACAACCAAAAATTTTGCGATGCAACAAATGTCATTGTATAGAGCGAGGACGGTTTAATATTGTCAATTTTTCCCCTTTTTTGGCCATGACCCCGAAATTAAAAAAGTTATAGGCGCGCGTCGCTCAAAAGCTTGAAATACCTGAAATCCAAGATTGTCCACAAATTCTAATATAAAATTCAACAAACCCTAATAAAAAATCTAACAAACCTTGAAATAATGCGGATCCTTTTCCCATGGCTTAACATTTCTAATCATTTGCTGCTCCTCTTTGTCATATTTAAATATTGCGTCAATTGAATCAGCAACACTATTTTCTAACATCCAATTACGTTGAGCTATTTGGGCGCTAGAAGATGGCTGTCCTTTCATAATGTTGAAAAATTCAATTTTCTCCAAGAAAATTTTATTCTAAAATTGCTAAAGAATACAGAAAAATAACCAACAAGGGATTTTAAAATTTCGAAAAAAAATTAATTTCTCACAAAATATTTGTATTCAAAATAATTTAATTAGCCTAATTGATAGCAAATACAGTCGTGGAAAAAAGTATGGAAGCGCTAGAAAAAGTTTTTTAAATTCTTAATTTTTTATTCAAAAAATTGGGTACAGCCCGATTAGGCGCGGGCCGATTAGGCGCGACCGATTAGGCGCGACCGATTAGGCGCGACCGATTAGGCGCCGGCCGATTAGGCGCGCGGCCAATTAGGCGCCGGCCGATTAGGCGCCAAGCTTTGAATTAAATATTCTGATTATAGTCAATTAGAATGGTCCCATCGACCATCAAATGGAACCATTCTGAATTATAAAACAAAAAATTTACAAAAAATTTTCCAAAATTAAAAAACCGGCCTAACTACAGTTTACGTACCAGACTCAAAATTGGACAATTTATATGTCATTCGAACGGGCTCGACGAGCTGAGTTGAATCTTCGCTGGAAAAACTGTTTTTGTGCTGCTACGGAGGGTAGGCCGGGCATGGTCTTCGCTACACGATGGCCGTGCTTCGCTGCGGTCGTGCTCGCTTCGCTCGCGGCGACCGTAGCGAAGCGGCGGCCGTCGTTCCGCTCGACATGCCCGGCTTCCTCCGCAGCGGCAAAAACTTTTTCCGCGGAGGCCTTATGGAAGGGGGTGTTAATTAAAAGGTTGGCGCCTAATCGGCCGGCGCCTAATTGGCCGCGCGCCTAATCGGCCGGCGCCTAATCGGTCGCGCCTAATCGGTCGCGCCTAATCGGTCGCGCCTAATCGGCCCGCGCCTAATCGGGCGTGTCCCCAAAAAATACGTTCTATATACCAATCGAAAGCTCTACTCGTATCTCAGTTGACATGTTTCTGCATTTTTCATTAAAATGAAAATTGGCCGAGATAATCAGGATCTACCGGATATACCAAATCCCATTTTTTCGGAAAAATTTTTCGGAACAAATTTAACAAACTCATTTGATAAAGCATATTTTTCTGAGTATTTTCCACAAAACCGCTTAAAAATATCTTTTTCCGGAGTAGAGATATGATTTTTTGAAAATCGCATTTTTCCCTTAAAAATTGAATTTTTTGCAAAAATTGATGAAAAATACGATTTTCAAAAAATCATATCTCAGGACCGGAAAAAGATATTTTTAAGCGGTTTTGTGGAAAATACTCAGAAAAATATGCTTTATCAAATGAGTTTGTTAAATTTGTTCCGAAAAATTTTTCCGAAAAAATGGGATTTGGTATATCCGGTAGATCTGGATTATCTCGGCCAATTTTCATTTTCATGAAAAATGCAGAAATATGTCAACTGAGATACGAGTAGAGCTTTCGATTGGTATATAGAACGTATTTTTTGAATAAAAAATTAAGAATTTAAAAAACTTTTTCTAGCGCTTCCATACTTTTTTCCACGACTGTATGTAACTTTGAATAATTTTTTAACCAAAAAAAAAATCCCGGTCTCAAAATTTACAAAAAATTATAATTTCATACTCAAATAAGTTGGGATAAAATGTCATTTTTCTAAATTTTCTGGGAAATTGCGGGTTTAAATTTTTTTAACTTAATTAAAATCTGAAAAACATTTTTCCTAAAACATTTTATATTTCTTAAAAATGGCGACTTCTTGTGGGGACGTTTTTTCAATTAATGGAGTTAATGTTCAATTTCCTTATACGCCTTATGAATGTCAACGCGATTTTATGGAGAAAGTTTTGGAAACTTTACAATCGGTCTTTATTTTAATTTTCAATTTATTTTCTCAATTTTTTAGAGTTCAAATGCTGCTTTAGAATCTCCTACCGGGACAGGTTTATTTTTTAATTTTTTTTGATCGATAATACTTTTTGAGGTAAAACGCTGTCTTTGTTATGTTCAGCCATTGCTTGGATTCAAGAATACAAGGAAAGATTAAAACCACAAACTTTTGCTAACAATACTGGACTTACTAATCCTTGTATAAATGGTAAAATTTTAAAATAAAAGAAAAATTTAATTTTTTGGAGGGAAACTACAAATTGAAAATTTTAACAAACTTTGACCAGATTCTTGTCCTTGAGCCAAGAAAAATCAAGGAACACTTAAGCGTTGATTTTGAGTCTGGATCCAGGAAAAACTAAGGTTTGGATACGGGTCCTTTACCCCTTCCAAATTGTAAAATCCCCTTGGCTAATATGTGAGGGGTTACATTTTATCCCATAACGAAAAATCATTAATTAATTTCTAAAATCTGGAATTTTCATCTTTTTAATTTCCATAAATTTTGTTTTTTTTTGTTATTTTATTTATTCTTTTATTTTAAAGCACCAAACCATTCAATACTTTACCCTCGTATTTATTATGCTTCACGTACACATAGCCAATTGCAACAAGTTGTTAGAGAATTAAATAAAACAAAATATAGATCGTTTGTTTTTTTTTTAATTTTATAAAATTAATTAAAAATTTAAAGTGTGGTCCGTCTAGTAACTTTAGCTGGAAGAGACAAACTCTGTTTAAATGAGCGGGTTTTGAAAGAACAAAATTCTGAAGTAAGAGGTCAACTTTGCAGAACAATGACAAGGGCAAGAAAATGCAATTTTTATAATACTCTTGAAAGTAAGGGAAATTTTTTTTTATTTTCAGAAAATTTTTTCGGAAATTGGAATTTTTTGAAAATTTCAAAAAAATTTTTTGGGGAATTTTTATTTTTTTAATTTTCAAATTTTCAATTTAAAAATTTAGAAGATGCCGATTCTTTGGATGCAATGTATTCTGGAGCTTTAAATGGCAATGCTTTGGATATCGAAGACCTTTTAAACACTGCTAGGAAGTTCAGGTTTGTTATTGCAATTGAATCTCATTTATATACGAAGCCCCGATGAGATACGCCTCTGATACGTTTTTTAAATTTATTTGACTTCTCAATGAGGGTAAACTGCCTCTAGGCACTATACACCTGAATAAATAAATTCTGTTTAAGATAAAAATTTTCCCGTCCATGGTTTTTCTAAAAATAGGAGGTCCATAACTCTTGTAAATTTTAATTTTATTAAAAATTTATTATTTAAAGGCATTGCCCTTTTTATCGTGCTCGCCAACAATTTGAACAAGCTGATTTAGTTTTATTACCTTATAATTACCTTTTGGATCCAAAAGTTCGAGAAATGTATGAAATTAAAGTTAGAGGGAATATTTTAATCTTTGATGAAGCTCACAATATTGTAAAGTTTTTTAATTGAAATTTTGAAAAAAATTTTATTTTAAAGGAATCTGTAGCCGAACAGTCCGTTTCGATTGATTTTTCAACAAAAACATTAAGTATTGCAATAAGGGAGGCTAAGAAAACTTTGGAAATGGTCATAGAAGAGGAGGAGAAAATCAGAAAAGAAATGGTTTTTAAATTTTTTTAAATTTACTTGCGGGGGGGGGGTGACAAAATTTTGACACTTTTGTTGTTTCTTTGGACTTTTAATGCCCAAAGAAACACTATGTTTGACATTGCTTGTGTAATTCAGGCATTTTCTAATTTGTAGACTACCTAACTTTTTATACTCAAAATTGGTAGAGACTAACATTTGCTGACATCCGCCTTTCTACAGGTACCAAACTTTGAGACATAGCTTTTTAGTTTCATATCGCTAACCAAAAAAGCCAAAAATATTCTATAGTTAATTATAGTTGGGATTGTTCCTCATCCATTTTTAATAATTTATCCTAATAATAATTTAAAAAAAATTTTTAAAGGATGATAATGGACCAAGTTTTTCTTCGTTAATGGATAAAAGAGGGGGAAAAAGACAAAAACAAAAAGAAGATGATAAAGAGAAACAAGTTAGTAAACAAGATGTCGCTTCTCTTTTGAGTGAGGTTTTTTTATTAAATTTAATTTTTCGAGGTATTGGGGCATTAAAAATAAAAAAATGGGGCATTAAAAAAATGATAGGGGTCGGAATTCAAATTTATGTAATCTAACTTCCCGTCATTTTTTTCTTCTGATTTTCGAAATTTTTTGAAATTTGTGGTTTTCATTTGGCTGTTTTAATTACCGACATCCTAGGCCGTTCCGAACTACCTTTGTTAATAAAGTTATTGATTCGGAACCGAATCGAAGGTTCGAGGATTTTTCGTTTTGGTTTTTTGTCTTCGGTTTCTATGTGACGACAATTCCAGTTAAAAATTATATCCTCTCATTTATCTATTAAATTTTTCAGTGATGCTTCAGTCATTAGAAGAACAATTAATATTTCTAAATACAAATAAAAAAGATGGAAAAGAGTTGGCAAATTTACCTGGACGTGTTTTTCCAGGTTACAAAATGGTTGAAATTTTGAAGGTGAAATGTTTTTTGAAAGTTTTTTCTAAATTGATAGAATAATTTCTTTAGGCAGCAGATATTCATAGACATCAAAGAGAAAGTATTTGCCTTTTAATTGATAGAATTGGGTTATTTTTGGCTACAAATGGTGAGGAACATTTAAATCTTTTTCTTTAAAATTGATGATATGTTGATTCACCGAATAACCTCGCGCATACTGATTGTGAGTCTGAAGGACATTTTATTGAATGGACTTTTGATATAATATTGAAAGTGTTCCAACCTAATTAACATTTCATTCAAGGGTTTCACCTAAAAATTCTTTCTAAGGGTACTTGTCTAACATAAGATTATTTTGTGGATCAATGACTCTAAAAATAATGAAAATATATTCAAATCAAAATTTTTATTTTCAAGCTGAACAAAATCATGGTATTTGGGCAGTTAGAGGAACTTCACTTTCTGCTTTTTCAACACTTATTTCTCGAGTTTTTGTTGATACATTTGAAGATATGCCAACACAGAATGGGAAATTATTTAATGGAAATTTGTTGTCTTTACAACAAGAGGTTTGCTGGGGGTTTTTTAATTAAAATGGGGGGTTTTCTCGACGAATTTGTTTTATAGGGGAAAAGAGAGGATCCA